ACGATTGAATATACCTGAAAAATCTGGATTAATAGTATTTCTGAATTGACATTGCGCAGACCTTCAGTAGATGAGATTTTAATTCTAATTCAAGTAATGACTATTACAGAAAACAGTGACAGATCATTGTTTCATTATCAAATATGCCTTAAAAAGAAAAGCTTATTTTTCAGATAGCACTGATCAGCTGAGTTGACGAGTGTTTGTATTTAGATTCTAATTTATAGGTGTACTATTTGTGCAAAGGGCTCAGCCTCGTGAGATGCTTAGAGTATAAATATAATACAGGGGTTCCTGCTTTCAAATTGCTCAAGACTTAGGGGAAGAGATAGTTAATATTAATAATAATAAGAAGAATGTGACTAGCATCAGGACAAATTGAGTCTCATGGGAATTTATCTAGGAATATCAAGTTTGAGATAGTGGGACATCTGGGTGCTAAGAGTCCTGTAAGTGGTTGGAAATACAGAAGTCGCTGCTTAAGAGAGTTAAAGAGGAGGTCTGGGCTCAGAAGCATGACAGTGCCTCCACGGGGACTATGTCTTGGAGAGCGCCTTTACTTAGGAAAAAGGGAGGCGGAAAGCAGAGACAGAAAGCATGGGAAAGAAGCAGGAAACTGCAGGGTCCTGGAAGCAGGGAGAGGAGTTTGAAGAAGCAAGCAGAAAGGGCAGACAGTCCTGTGCTCCTGCTGATGAGGTGGAGAGAAAGGTCATTGGAGTTGGTAACTAGGACGTCATTGCCAAAGAAGACAGTTTCAAGGCAGGGCTGAGGAAGTGAGTGGGTGGGACACAGAGGTTAGCATTACCTAAATAGTAGGAAAGAGAAGGAATCCTCGTGACTCCAGTCGATAACAAGAGGTTTAATCAGGATTGGGGAAATGAGAGGGAAGTCCAGAAATGTAGACGAGATTGAGGATACAAGATATTATGGGGATGTGTTTTGAAGCAAAGGCTCTTGAGGGATTAGTGGGGATGGAATTAAGGGTCTTTGGGGGAAGAGTTCAGGAAGGAGAAAGAGTTCTATCTATGAACAGCAAGGAGAGGATTGGGTATGGAGAAATTTAGAGGTGTATTGGGCTGAGGGAGCTAATGTCAGGTTGGCCAAGGAGAGGTGCCGCTTGAAGGAGAATGAGGAGGATTTGGAAAGCAGGCAATGGGAATAGGCTGGTGTGGGGTAACAGTAAGAGTCATCATTTGGTATTCCCACCGCTGCACCAAGGCCATAGCCTTTATCCTTTCTTGCCTTGGTTAATGCAAGAGCCTCATATGAGTCTTCCGGATCCTGTCCTTGCTCTCTCAAGTCCATTACCTAGGAGAGTAGCCCCAGTGATTGTTTAAAAAGTAAGTTTAAAAGGTAGGTCACATTTCTCAGAACATATCCCAGTCATTAAGCAATGCATGGCTGTATTGTAACCTTCTTTTCTTACTAGCAATGTGACAGGAAAAGGTGATTTAGAACATTCGGTTATTATTATTACCTTGACTGTTACATTTGTTCCTTAATTTGTTTAAAACCTTCTTGTTCAGCTCACCAAACTTAAAGGCATATCCATGGTAAGCACTTAATATGCATTGAATGCATGGATGACTTTGGGATCTTGGCACCAGCTGCCTTTGAGGTGGTAAGAGCATATCCAAAGGTGGCAGATCAGAGGAGTAGACGAGAAGGAGGCATAATATGTTTGCATGCAACCACAAAAAACAAAAGTCCTTAAAGAAAAATAAATTGAGGTTTTGGCCTCAGAATTATGAGATGCCATTTAACATACTACTACACACAAAATCTTTATGGTTCCTACAACCTGAAAGGGTCCTGCTGGGTCCATACCTCTGCCTTTTTCTACCACAGTTGCCTGGCAGAACCTGGATACTGCCAGGTGTGTCCTGCATGGATTGTGCAGCAGCACTCTGAGTGTGCATGCTGAGTGTGTATTGAGACCAGAGAGGACAAATTCAGGAGGTTCACTGAAGTTCTGTGATGTCGGAAGTCCTCGAATCTACTTAGCATTTTATCTGCAAAGGATAACCTCTGCTCCACTGTTTAAGATAAGACTTTGGATGGCATCCTAGGAGCTGAAGTGCTGCTCTTACAAGACGAGCGTGGTGGTGGTGCTGGTTAATGCACAGAGGGATTTGAGTGAAATTATCCTCGAGGCACAAGATAAACCTTGCATGTGAATGATGAAGGGCACATGAGGGAGTATGCCTTCCTGAAAGTTCATCGGTATATTGGAATGTGTAAATAATGGACATGTTTTAACATGAGGCATGTTCACCATGCTAGGTGTTCACACAAAACTATGGTCTTTTTAACAACTAGAATTGCATTCTAAAGAAGGACATACAGAGCCATATGCAGACAACTAGGAAACAAAAGAAACTATATTTGCTTATACATTTCTCAAGGTTATATTATCAAATGGAATACAGATGAATCAGAGGCATGGCAGGTGCTCTGGACATTAGGGGTAGTGGCAAGACCCAAGATTTAGTCATATGACCCTAGGTTTTAGCCCCAGGTCTCTCTGTTACTAATCTGTGTTTTTAGGTAAGCAATAAACCTTCCTAAAACTCACATTTCTTAACTGTAATTCAGAGATAACAATTGCTCTAAAATTTGGATTCTCATAGATGTGTGAGAATCCAAAGAGACACCACCATCCAGGAAAGCTTTTTGCATGCCTTGGCTGATGTCTTTCAGTTGGCAGAGAGGGAGCTGAGGGACTAGGAAGCTTATTGCAGCCTCTTTCTTCTCCTGTAGGTAATGTAGGTTTATTTTTGAGATGGCAGTTTTTAGTTGCAAAGTCATGTAGTGTGGAGAGGCTGAGCCTCTTACTACGGGGGAAGCTGGACTTGCCACTTGTCCCCTGAATGACCACAAGGACATTCTTGGTTTTCTGGATACCCCCCTGTTCTCACTTTTGCAGTGGTAGGTTAAGAAGTGATTAAAAATAAGCTTCTTTGTAATACCAAACCAAACATAAACAAACAAACAAATTTCTTTAAAAACTGAACTTAATTGATGAGTCTGGGCATTAAGGATGCTGAACATTTAGCTTAATTAGTTATAACTTGCTGCACTTGGACAGGCAATTATGTAATGTATAATTTTGGAGGTTTGAGAAGGGAGCAGAATGAAATTTTTATGACTCTCAAAGGTCTACTGAAATTTATAAATGTATATGACATTTTAGGAAACAGGACATTATGTGATGACGGAAGCTGCCAGATGCCTCACCAGTTGCTGAGACACTATCTCATTTGGAACCCCAAGTGATCTCACAACTAAATAGAACCATCCCCATTTTAAAATCCCAACTTCCCATTCACTCAACAAACATTTATATTGTGCCAGATGTTATGATGGGTGTTGGAGAAGTAAAGATAATAGCATAGTCTGTGGTTCTCAAGTCTGGTAGGAGATACAGGAAGGTTGTTGAGTAATTCAGTAGAATGGCAGGCATGCTAATCGAGGGTAACTGCTGCAGGAGCCCTCATGTCAGTAGGAGCAGCTCTGCAGCCAGGCAGATGGCCCCATACATTAAGGAGTCAGAAGTACCCCATGTGCTGAAGGGCAGGAGAAGGATCCAGAAAAGTCAGTACAGCTGGTCACCAAAAGTCTTAGGTCATGCTGAGGAGTTTGGACTTTATTCTGGTGGCAGTGAGGCGTCGTTGAAAGAGTTTAAGCTGAGGCATGACCCTATCAGAGAAGAGTTTTAGAAAGATGACTAGCAGCTGTGCGGAGAATGGATAAGAGGGATGATAGAGGAAAGGCGAGCATACCCATTTGGGTGCTACACTGAGGTTCATACAAGAGTACCCTAAATCATTGTATAGTCAGGATGTACAGCTGGGAAGTCATTGATGTGACACAGGATGAGTATTGAGTTGGAACAGAGAAAGACGGTTAAAGATGGAAGCTTGGGGATCGTGCAGGAGCTGTTGGAGAGGAGCTGTTAGAGACAGAGAGAGGTCCATTTCTCTGCCCCATCAGGGCCGAGTCCTTGTAATGTTTTCATTGGCTGCTTGGGAGTTGTTTTTTGTTACATCTCTCCAGAAACTTAAATTCCTTCTCTAGACCCTTGTTTTGTCCCATGCTTTGTCCATTTTCTTAATTATTAGTGAACTGAACATTGAGAATTCTCGGGAAACTGCTTCCCTAAAACTAAATTGTCTGATCTTTGTAGAACACTGTGGGTCAGCTGCCAAGACTTGATCTCCGAAATGATGTAGGGAACGCCCTGTGTCAATTTCAGTTTCCAGCCTAGCTCGGGACTGAATCCTCTCAAAAGTGAGTCATCTGCTCTGAAATGAATGCATCTGCCAGATATTTGGAAAGGTTTCGTTACCACTGTGCTCAGTAAGTCACAGCAAAGTTCCCAGACTTGTCTAACAGTAATTTTAATACTGCACTGGATACAAAACATTTAATGTGGAGACAAATACAGCCAAGAGGGCATTTCCAGCAGATGTCAAAGGGACCTAACTCCACAATACGTGAGATACCTGTGGTTTGGTTCAGGCCTAGGGATGAAAGGAAGGTGTTGAGAGCCATCTATCTAATAGCAGTAGTTGAAAATTCGAGATAACTTTAGAACATTTAAGTGGATGCTGTCCACTTGGCCAAGCTGAGCACAATAAAAATCCAACCCAGGGCTCACTTGTTTGGTGAGGGAGATGAGCCAGGCTGAGGGACGCCAATCTAAAGAGCTCAGTCTCACTAGACCACCTGGGTTTTGAGCACTGGCCCCCTTTTACTCCCACTCCAAGGTTATCCTTCTCCTGGAAGATCAAAGTACTATTTCTCTGACAAAGGCATCAAGCCCTCAAAGGTTTGAAGGGATAGTTCTAAGTAAATTAAAACAACACAAAAATAAACACAAGTACAGGATGCTTTACATGGAATTACACAATGCTAAGCAAAGATAGTCCACGTTTTAGCTTAAGGGTAGATTGGAGTTGACCACGCTCTGCAGCCTGTTGGGCTTCTCTGTCCCACAGGTCGTCAGAGTGGGCCGCGGGCACCGTTTGACTTTAGGCTGTCTCCAGGCCTCTAGGCCCATCTTGGAGGTAAGACCCCAGGTACCTAGGAAATTTCCTTTTACTCTCTCCATTCTGTAGCCATGTGCCTACTGACCAGTTACCTCCTCTTGAAGAGAACATTCTTTGCTTCTTCTGACTCAGTGTCTCAGCTGGTGTACTACAGCCTCGCCTCTCCTTGGAGTTGTTCTTAGAACATCCAAGGAGCCGTCTCTTTCTGTTTCGAAGCCCACACTCCCTTCTGGGCTACCCTGGATGTTTGTTTTTCTGTCTGAGAGAGAACACTCCCAGCCATTTACTCCTTTGAACAGGAGAGATGGGGAGACAGTCTGTGGCAGATCCATGGAGGTGGCTCAGGTTGCAGCCCACCCACCGCTCTGGGATATTGTCTCTAGCTCATTGTTCTTGTGGTCCCAGAGGAAGGGTGGGCCTTTTGTTTCAGTCTCTTAATTAGAATCCTATAAAATATGATATTTTAAACACCCGTATGGATATACATACTTTCCACCAGGAATTAAGAGAGTTGTTTTGTTATAATTTAATGCCCATTGTAAAGTGATTAATTAAAAAATTCAGTATCATATGAGTTGAGAGAGTTATGAAAAATAAATGATGACGCAAAAGTATGTCTTTGTTAATACTCACGCCTATATTTGTTTAAGTCTGCATAGTGAATCTTCCCTCCTTTTGATCTAACATTTCCTTTCATTAAAAAAATAAGTGGGGTAATACAACTATAAATCAGAGCAGATACAGTATTCATCTTTTTTCTGGACGTCTTTTATGTTTTTGTTTCTCATAAAGCAATTCTTTGCACTTGGATAAATGATTTGAGAGAGAGAGACTTGGGATTCCATGTTCACAGAACTGTGGAATTTTTAAACCACAAAGGAAGCCTGGCGATCCTAGAGAGCTCTTTATTGTATGGATATAGAAAGTTGAAACTTTCCCCTAAGATTATGCAGCTAATTAGAGGCAGAGCTCAGATGAGAACCCAGTTTTCCTGGCTCTCAATTCAAACCCCATTCCAACATCGCTTCTCAAGTTCTTCCATAGGATGTCTAATTAAATTATTCGGGTCACATTTCTTGTGGTTTGAAACATGAGCTGCTCAGTATCCCAGCTTCAGTGGGGTCAAGGTAGCATGTTGGCTGGCTCTGATGGAAGGAAGACAGAGTCCTGGCCAGGCTGGGGTCAGGAATTTTGTTAGTAGAGAGGGATTCCAAGTTGAAGCTGAAGAAACAGGGTCGCAGCAGACCATCAGGGTGGAGCAGTGAGTGATGAAGAAGAGGGGCAGGAATTGCCGGGAAGCCCCAGGGTTGGTCCCAGGTGAGGAGATGTGGTACCTCTCTATGTTCCCTTTAGGCGGCCCATGGCCGTGCCTCCCTGGGCTAAGCATCCCACGTTCCACATGTGGCTCATAGGCGTTCAAGTGACCCCAGTTTTGGGAGTGAATCATTTCAACCAAGAGAAAAAAAAAGTTTTTAAAATAAAGAAGAATCTATTTTAAATTTGTCCTTCCAAACTAGACTTGGAGGTAGTTATAAATTTTACTCTTCATATTCCAGTCTAGTGGGACAGCTCTGCAATTCTTCGACTTGTTCCATTAAAAAAAAAGTTCCATAAGGATTGACCTGGGGCTCTCAGGTGTCATGCATCATTGTATAAGCCCTTTGTGAGAGAATGTCACCCCTTTCTCTTCCTTTACCAGTCCTGTTTTCCTTTTCAACTACTCCTGTAATTTTGCGGAACTCCTCATAAGACTTCTGTCCATGCTTGGCCAAGATAATTAAGGATTTCTGTGTGTCAGAGACTACCAGTATTTAACTTAAGTAGTGGTACTGACCGAAAATAATTTAGACTATTATAGTAGCTAGAAGAAGGCTTTTATTTTAAATTGTGCTTTGTGCTGTGAGATTTATATCCCAGTTGTTGTCTGATGATGCTGGCTATGTTTAGATTTAATTTTCAGATCTTATCACACGTCATAGTGTTAAATTCCACCCCCCCCCCCGCCACCCCGCAAATGTGGAAAGCTACTAAGCTTTCTTAGTAGAATGGAAATAATTTATTTCCAAACATAGGAATAGGACTGATATTCTTTGAATGTCCACCTTGACACTGATTTATATAAAATGGATACAGACCCATCTTTTAGCAGGAATATGATTTTAACTGATAGAAAAGTAGAAAAGAATACTACAACCATGAAAAAGAAAATTAACATTGCTTTTGAGACGAGCTTTAGTGTTCATTGAGTATAAATCTCCTGGTATTGATTTGGACTCTTATAAGCCAAATAAATAAAACTACAGAAATTTAATGTGAATCGATTTGGCATATAGTAGACTATTTCCTGAATGTAACTTTTAATACATAAAATCTATGAAGGAATTGAAATAGAGCATTCACTTATGCTATAGTCTTCTCTTGTCAATTTCCATAATGGACCAGAGAACTTTTTATAATAATAGAAAAAACCTTATATGCAAGTAATGGATGATTATTGGTAGGTTCCTATTTCTACTCCATTGACTGTTTTATGCATTCATTCTTGAAACGTTTATTGAGAACTTAGCATATGGGTACAAATAGAAAGGCGTGTCTCCTGCCCTCAAAGGATTCTACAATCTGGTGGGGGAAAGAAGGACACGTGCCTGCAGGAGACTTTCAGATAATGGAGTCAGAGACTGACGAGCTATCAGATAGGGCCTCATGGAGCGTGGTTGATAAGGTCACCAAGGTCTAGGATCAGATCTCAGCTTTGCAAGCCCAGAGTCTGAGTTTGGTCAATATGACCAGAGTTGTTTGGGCTCAGGAGAACTGAGTTGTAGCAGTCAACCCCACAGGAGAACAAACCAGAATACCATTTAATAATGTGCATTGAGAACTCTAATTAATAGGCAAATCAGATTATGTTCATTGGCTGTTCATTCTCTCTAATTAGGAAAGTCTAAATGGGAATCACATTATAAACAAGTGGGTTGGTGAGACTGGACTCAGAGCAAAGACAATGAGTGGGAAGACCTTGGCATCTGGTGGCATCAAACAGTGACTACTTATTCGTGCCAAGTCCAGTAGTCCCCCAGTAGGTCATATCCTGATGGATCCCAGCCTTTCCTTTTAAATGGTGATAAAGGCACTGACACAATTGCTCCAGTCATGCAAGCCCTGTTCTTTCTGTTGGCCCATTCTTTCCTCAGATGAGTTAAAACCATTGACTAGGCTGTAGGTTGTTGGGGTTTTAGTGTTGTTTAATTCAAGTTTAATTTGAGTTCTATGCAGTTTTTCCTTTGAGTTCTTGGACTTAATAGGTTTGTTTCTTTTGTATGTGCAAAGAGCTAATCTCTATTATGTCCTGATTTGCTCTTTTAACTTTCCAAGGGTAAGCTTATTTCAAGTTTCTCTTCCTTTTGTACTGAATACAATTTATACTCATCCTATACAATTTAGCTTAAACAAGTCTTTGCCTCTGTGCACATCTTCTTGATGTCCTCTTCTCCTCCCCTTCTCTTTCCTCTCATACCAGCCTCTGCCTCTGTGCTGTTTTCTCTTATACCCTTCTGTAGTACTTCTCACACTCTAATAATTTGCTTCTTCATCTTCCTCTGTCATCAGACTGTAAGCTCTGTAAGAACTACAACTATATTTTATTAAACTTTGTGTCTCCAATTGCTAGTTCAGTGTCTGGTGGTAGGAAGTAGGGACCTAGTAAAGGGAGGGAGGGATGAAGTGATGTTTATGCTGAGCCCTTAAATGATCAATAGAATGAGAAAGAGAAGCCACTGAAGTCTACTCTCAAGGTCCAACAGACATTTTTCTCTCTCTTACTTGACCACTCTTACGACATTGACTGAACACAAGGGTGAGTGTGGAAACCAGATTGCAGCTTAGTGTATCCCTTCAATGCTCCTGTCCTAATGCTATAGTGTTACTAGTACTTGGAAGACATTTGCTTGAAAATGGCAGTATTCTCCAGTTACTTCACCTAGGACATGTTCTTAGTCCCTCACAGTCTTGTTACAGTTATCTATTATTGAGTAACAAATTACCCGAAAGCCTAGTAAGACAATAATTTGTTTTTTCTAGTAATTCTGAAATTTGGTTGAGGCTGAGCTGGGTAGTTCTGCTTTATTTGGTGTCTGCAGGGACTGGAATGTCCAAAATGACTTCTTCACTCACCTTGTGGTACCTCAACCAGAATGGCTGGAATCAAGTGTGGGGGCCGGTGGGGCCTCTTTCTATATATGACCTCTCCACATGGCCAGCTTGGCCTTCCTCATAGCATGGTGGTCTCAAAGTAGTAGAACTTTTTAGGTGGTGGTTGTCTTCCAAGAAGGAAGAAGCAGAGACTGCCAGTTCTCCTAAATACTAGGTTTGGAACTGGAACAGCATCACTTCCACCTCATTTTATTGGTCAAAGGCAGCCCAGATTCAAGGGGAGGGAAAATAGACTCGCCTTTTGGTGTGAGGAACAGCAAACATATTTGGGAAGGAAGGATGCCTCTACTGAAAAGAGATTATCTAAAACAGATCTAATAGTATGTACAACAAGAAATAGACATAAAAAGAGCATTTAAGATATGTACTGAAGAAGCATGACTAATTTAAGTGACTGGTTTTAAAGAAATGCATTAATTTTATTTGGATGAAGTCTCTAGGGGAAAAAAAGAGTTCTATCTGGTCAGAAAACTAACCTTTGTCAAAATCTAAGTTAGGACTTGATAGTTACGGACTCAAACCTAGTTATTCTGGTATTGGTGGGTGGTAATAAATACATGGATCATTGGTTTAATTATGCCCAGCATCTCTTATTTGTTAAAAGTCAAATCTCTCTTTAATGATTGAAGTTGCTTTTTTTTTTTTTTAAGGGTGAGCATAATGTCACTTTGATCCATGAGAATAATAAAAAAGATCCATTTTCTTTTACTTTTCTCACCTTAAAGGGGTGTTTGGAAAAGTGTCACATAATTAAAGTTTCTTGAGTTGGTAGTTCCACTGGGAAAATTTTATAGTAAATTTTCTTTCTTCCTAGTGCTGTGATGGGAAATGGGCTGGAAATGACCCTAATAGTCCTCTATTTCTTGACCTGAGCCATTTCCTGAACATTTCAAAAGTATAATAATTAGTTTCAAAAATCTTGATAGACCCAAATAAATCAAGATAAGGACACAATAAGTGGGGAGATAGTCTGTATCCTTCTTTGAAGCACACACAATTTCTTAAACAATTTCCCTTTACTGATATTACAGCTGATTCTTAATAGTTTGACAGTGTCTTATAATCGATGTATTACTTTGAAGCTTTTTGAGTAGATTATACCTCTTCAGTGCTTACTGTCACACATCTTTATTGCATTTCATGGGAACAGGTATGTAATAAAGGTCATCGTTTGTAATATTTGCAAAGAAACCGAGACTCAGGGTTTTGAAAGCCGTCCCAGAGGCCGAATGAATTCATAATTCACGTGGGAAGGACTTTGGTGGAGAATAGAGTTCCTTCCTTCTCTTCCTTTAGAATAAAGGATGCTTACTCTGAAAGCAGAATTTAAGATTACTTTCAAAGATGGACACAGTGCAAGAAAAGAGTAAATATAGGTGAAGCAGACACAATATAGAAATTATGGGCAGGAAATAAAATTAAATTATACACAAAATATATGCCCTGGAGTTCTCTGTCTTTGCTGGAGAAGGAGGGATCTAAGACTTGACGACCTAAAACTTCCTCCAACCAAAGAAAGGAGAGAAGCAGCTGGGACAGATGCTGGGAGATCCCAGCTTAGTAATTAGCCTGAAGAGTCAACAGGGTAGATTCAGTTAGAAATGTTTTCATGTATGATCTGTTAATAGTATCCACGGATTGCAGTCCATGGGAGAAAAAGTCTAGAACATTCCTTTCTGAAGCCTGAGGCCCAATTTCCTGTATTGACACTACAGTCCCTTCTAAACAATGTTAATTCAGATAGATGTGCTGCTTCCTAAAGTCATGAGGCATTTTATTATTTAAAATAAGCACTTAGTCCTCGTGAAACAAAATCAGTTATAACGTTCATAGGAGGGGAAATAGCATTCATAATTCATAGATTCACTCAACAAATATTAAGGACCACTCCTCAACAACACCACAGACATGCATGAGCCACACCTGAACCATGTGTGAGCCATGCGTGAACAAAGCCTGTATCATGTGTCAGCCACATGGGAGCCAGTTCTCATGTAAATGTCTCATTAGCTTGCTCTTAGGCACTGGGGATGTGGCAGTGAACAAGAATGGATGTAAAGGGCAATTAAGCAATGGATGGTGGTAATGGTTATACAACAATGTGAATGTACTTAGTGCCACTGAACTGTATGCTTAAAAATGGTTAAAATGGTAAATTTTATGTTATGTTGATTTCACCACAATTAAAAAAAGGCAATTAAGGCAAATAAAAGGCAATACAGCGGGACTAGAGAAAGCACTTGGGGTGAGAGAGTTAGGGACTCTGAAAGGGGCCTCTTCCCTGCCTGGGGGAAGCCAAAGAGCTCCCTGGAGGGGTCATTGGGCCCCTGATCCAGAAAGAAGCTGGAGCCTTTGCCCTGCACAGCTTTACAACTCTAGGATACCAAATGGGATCTGTTGTGTGTGCCGTAAGGAAGGAGGAAGCTGCACCAGCTGGTAGAGACTGAAATGACTGTGTCCAGGCTAGGCCCCCATGCGCTCGGAGGCTGGCACCTTTCCGTCTTCACTTACCCTAGTCCTTTCCTCGTGCTTTCCTTCACAGACAGCCATTCTGAGACGACAGGGTCGATACAAATGCTCGACAGTTCCTGCAAACGCACACGAGGAAGCGCAGAGCTTATTTGTCACGGAGGTAATGTGCTTTTTCTGCATTAATTTACATGGTATTTAAAAGTCCTTTTTCTCTCACAGTCCTCCCCTTTTCTTTAAATTTCAATGATATTTTCAAGATAGTGTCATAGAGGTGATTACATTTTTATGATGGATGTTAAAATAGGAGGATGACGTGAGGTTTTCAGAGTCAGAAGTGTCAAGAGGGATCATTTCAAATGGCAAAACGTGAATTCTACAGAACTTATCTCACAGGCACGGAATAAGGGGAAACTTGAAAATGAACTCAGTGGACATCTCTGGCAGAGGCTTCGTGGTTGATACTGTTTTAATGGGGACTCAGCACACAATTTCTGTATCCGTTTACTTCATTTATATGTTTATACTTGCAACTTATTTTTGAGACTAGTTCAATATTCATGAAGTACCAGGTGATAATGAGCAGAGCCTGACTGTCTCTGATCAATGTATGATTATTATTACTCTTGTTTGATCTTACAAATAATGATTGTCTTGTTAAGGATGAAAGAAAAATTATTGCATTTAGATTGCTTGGGTTTTTTTTTTCTTAGTGTGTTTGTTTCTTCCTCCAGAAGCTTTTAGGTAGGATAAACTAATTAAGTGTTTTAATTTTGTTTCTTGATATATTCCTTCGTATAAAAATGATAGATTTTGAGGGAGCTGGCCCCATGGCATAGTGATTGAGTTCATGTGTTCCACTTCAGCGGCCCAGGGTTTGGGGGTTCAGATCCCAGGCGTGGACCTATACACTGCTCATCAAGCCATGTTGTGAAGGTATCCCACATGCGAAATGGAGGAAGACTGGCACAGATGTTAGCTCAGGGACAATCTTCCTCAACCAAAAAAAAAAAAGGATTTTTATTCCCATTTTTCTAGGTGATATTTAAATGATAAATATGCCCACCAATAAATTTGCCCATTACAAGGAAGCTATGCTCTTGTAAGTGAACACCAATTAAAATAACAATATTTAGTTTCTATTGATTTTTTCAAAAAATTAAATATGTATTTAAAAATTTTTAAGTGTGTTCTCTCATCCTTCTGCAAAGGTAGTTTCTTATCTCCTTTGCTACTATATTTCAGACAAATACAGCCAGATAGTTTATGTCTTAAATGTTTATTTTAAAGCAGGATGCAGGCAAACTGTGACTGACCCACAAGCAAAATCTGGCCTGCAGCCTGTTTTTGTAAATAAAGTTTTATTGTACACAGCCACACCCATTCATTTACATATTCCCTATGACTACTTTCTCATTACAACTCAGAGTTGAGTGGTTGCAATAGAGACAATGTGACCCTCAAAACTGAAAATATTTACTATCTGGCCTTTTGCAGAAAAAGTTTGTCAACCCCTGCTTTAAAGCATGTAGCAAAATTATTAACTCAATTCCCCCAATAGATTGACAAATATGGTTTTTGAGAGACAACTCTCCATTAAGTTCTTTAATGTGGGTTGAGCAATAACGACTTCATTCTTTGCTGCTGGAACCAACATAACTACACCCTCTTGGGACCCTTCCACTAGGGCGGGGTGGAGCAACACTTCCTCTCCATCCTCTGATCCAGAGGAGAATGGCCTAATAGCTTTTTTTAAAACAACTTCAAAAACCTTCAGTATAACTTCAAAATATTATTGAATTTCACAAGTTTGAAAGGTCAGTCATGAAATCAGCCAGTCAGATCCCTGTCTTTTTAGAGATGCATTCTTCTTGCTACTGATTTCTGATTGAACCCCTTACCTCCTAGACTTTCTACATCCACAGAGGGATAGGGGTTGCTTGCCTTATTCTGTATTTCTTCCTTGGAATTTAGCGGGTGCCTGCCATGGACAGTCAACAATACCTTATTAAATGAATGAATCTCTAGCTACTTAACCTGGTTAACTATATTTTTTGCAGTCCTTATAATTTAAAATATTTAAACATTATAATTATCTCTCATCCATTTTTGCCTAAGCTGTTAAAAATTTGGGCATCCAGCTGTTCTGTTCATAAATGCACTGGTTGTATACATCTGTGCTTACTCATTTACTTTTTCATTGGGCAAGTTTATTTTATACTTCAGAAAGGTTGTAATGTCCTGCAATAGACTTTGGTAGTACAACTTTAGTTGCAATGTTTGATGAAATACCACCTTGGTTATGAGAGCTGCTGCTGTCTCTGATTTGGCCTCCTGAACAAAGAATAGGGACATGTCCAAAAGACAGTGTCATGCACAGTCAGACTTGACTTAGCTGTGCTAATGAACCTAGGGACAGTAGTGGGAAAATCCAAACCTACAAATAATTCTGACATCATACTAGTTTTGGAATGTAATTTTGAGTGTGGATGTCTCATGTTCTAAATATGAAAATGCTTTGAAAATTTTTTAAAAAGCATTTACAAGAATAAAATGGTATTTAAAACTATTTGTAACTGTATAGCAAGGAAATTGAAAAGTTGTTCAGCTCCCACATGTCCTTAACCCTTTTCAGCTATTTATGCCACCTCTCAGAATGATAATATAAAAAGCTTACACTACTTTCCCTTTACACCCTTGCCAATAAAGTGCTTAGCATAGAGCCTGGCATAAGAGAAGCACTCGCTGCTGTTATTTTCATGACTTTGGAGGTAGAGGGGAGTTTGCTTCAGAAGGCTGTCAGGTATATGCTGTGATATAGATAAAAAAGGTTGGCAATATAAACAATAAAATGACATGGGCAGAATAGAGGCTTTGTTTGTGATATTTGTTACAGCCAGAGTCAAGTAAAGTAGGTAAGATATAAATACATTTATCTACCTATGTTTTCACTTATTCGTTCCCTTTTTTTCGCCATACCAAAGTCCACGTATGTGTTGTCAAGAGCTGCCTAAAATCATTTGAACTAACTTGATGGTAACTGACTCATATGCTTCGCTGATTGATTTTGACTCATTCATATTTGAAGATCTGGCAGATTCAGGCTTATAATCTTAAGACTGTACAAACTACTCAATGAGTCCTCCTGGATAGGTGAATAAAAGACACCATGCTGGTCTGTTGAGTCTGTCGTATAGCAAAGTAGTTTAATGCAGTCTCTGTAGGTTAGTGTCACCATAAAATACTTGGCAATGGGATGCTCCATACTTTGTACATTCTATACACTCAGGCATGTGCATACACGTGAAGATGTCATGGTGCCACTATGAATTGGAATCTAAATCTTTCCTCCTAATAACCTCACTCTGTCCCTTATAAACTAGAAGGAAAAACTGAGGACAAATTTATATAGTGTTGACTAACAGAGCTAGTTGTAATGTTAGTAAACACCTTGAAAGTGTGTTTTGGTTTCCATTCACTTTCATGTTCTAGAAGAGGCCATGTGACTTCTTAAGAACCAAGTACTTTAAAGTAAGAAACAGGAGGTTGTTATGTAAATGCAGCAAGATGAGGTGAAGTTTGTCTCCTTGTAAAATCAGCTCTCAGATCATGGATAATGGTAACTTAAAGTGACCCATTTTAGTGGTTCGTAAGCATCATAGGAACCTCTGATGGTGGAATTTCAGGCATGAGATAGTTGAGGGGAAAGCATTTTTTTCATGTTTGTATAGGTGTGCATTCATAAACCTACCCAAATGTTCTCTTAAAGTCATCACGTATCTTTTTTCTGTTCATCTTATACTTTTTATTTTTTTAATCCCCTCCCCACCAATAGTGCATCAAAACCTATAACTCTGACTGGCATCTGGTGAACTATAAATATGAAGATTACTCAGGAGAGTTTCGGCAGCTTCCAAAGTGAGTAAATGGTCAGACCACTCAAGGTGGGGTTATACACATAGGGAGAATTCTTTGTTCTTGAAATGCTTAGTATGTAACTTTATATGCAATCAGAGAAATTTTAAGGGGGTATGTAACTTTATATGCAATCAGAGAAAATATTTCTAGATGGTTTTTGTGTATATGGAGTAGCTATTGTTTACAGGGGTTTGATAATAGGAACCAAACCTAGTACTCTGGGATTGATAGGTGGTAATAAACACATGGATGGTTTAATTATGTCCAGTGATTGTTTTCAGGGTACCCCGAAGAGACATAAAAAGCATTTTATATTGAATAAGTTTTATATTTAAAAAAAGTAAATGAAAAAACAAGCATTTTCCTGGACAAATTTCTTTACCTCCTTTAGAGTGTTAATTCATTCTAGAATACATCAAAAGCAAGTATGTTTAGATTGATTAGTGGTGGTTACAGTGAACCAGGGGTAGATAGGTCTCACTTTGAGAGGATATCTGTTATAAAATGGTACATCCTGAAATGATGCAGTTGGCAAATTTAAGTATAATTGATTATGAAAATTGAAAGCAATAACAGTGAATTGTGTTTCAAAAGTAATCATCGGCAATGAAAGTTTTACTGGAGACCCTATTAATATATTTTTCTTTGTATTTGTTGTTCTGTGAGTTTGAAATGTTTATACTATTCTCAATGGACCCAGCTATTTGTTTTTCCTATTTGTGTGGTTCAGCCACTCCTTAAGAGTGTTCAGCCAACTTCCCGACTGCCTCTTTTTAAACTTCAGCCGAGAACACTCCCTTTCAGCATTATCTTCTCCAGATGGGTATGCTTCTTAATTCTATATTTACCCAATACTCACTTGGGGATTTTTTAATTTTTTCCGTTTGATTGGATTGACCTGTCTTCACTGACACTCTCATTCATACTATTCTCATGGCTAAAGGAGAGTAGACTGTGAGATATAGTGTACTTAATGTATGATATACTTTTACTCCTGGTAGGTTTTACCTTTTGGCTTTAGTAAGAGTTTCCAATTGTGTGATGAGAAAGGAAGGGAGGATTGTCAGTGATTAAGAGCATACATTCTGTAGTCTGCCTGTGTCATCTGCTATTCCGCCCTCTGTGAGCCTCAGTTTCCTCATCTGTTAAATGGTCTTAGCACCAGTCTCCACCATCTAAAGGACTGAAGAAGGTAACACATGTGAAGTACACAGCACAGTGCCCAGCACATAATAACTGTTTAACAAATGCTGGCTGCCATCGTTATTGTCGTGTTTTTGTTGTTAATGCCATCATCTAAGATTGTGGTTCCCAATCCTTTAAATGCAGTCACCCCATTTTCCATTTTCTCTCGTGAACTTCATATTAAAAGTTAAATCTACCAAGTCTTTATTTGTTAATAGAATTTCCCATTTTTAATATACCTATCTAACTCCCAACAAGCTCTGCCATCTTTTCTACAGTGTTTTTGGGAACTGTCTAACTCTTGGATCTCCCACTTTGAAAAGAAATGGCATTGATTGTTTTTATACTTTATCTAAGTGGGCCAGCTTTGGATTTGTTATATGCTGGTTCTTCTGTTGGGGGAAGAAATGCAGTATCTCTTAATGGATTAGGTAATTATAAAACAAGTTTCTTTCTTCTTTTTAAAGCAAAGTGGCCAAGTTGGATAAACTTCCAGTTCACGTCTATGAAGTTGATGAGGAGGTCGACAAAGACGAGGTAGGATGATTGATTGCAGATTTAAAAATTGATTTATTTTACAGACTTAGAAGATTAATTAGAAAATTACCAACATTTAGCCAAAATAGGAATTGGAATGTTTTTTGAAACAGACGGAGAAGTTTTTTAAATGTATTGTTTGATTGATTGAAATAAGATCTCTGTTTCAACTTGACTGCTTAGCATTGCATGTTCTTCTGGTCCTGTTTATTTGTTCTGAGATCATTTTCAAAGACTTGGATAAAAACTGGCTGCATTGTTAAAAGATATCAAGATTAGTTAGACCTTAAGTTTAGATTGTTTTTCAACAGGATATCTTGAAACAAACTGGCAGCCAGTAGATTTTTAAATGACTGTTTCTTTAGTGATTGCTTTGAGTGAAGTGTGTAGTACCCAGAAGTTCTGATTTTAACAAGCTCACTTCCCCTGCTATTGGAGAAATGATTATGGATACAGAAGAGTACAAAGAAAGCAGGGCATTAAGGTGACTATGTCCACTGAGCCAGGGAAACCAATAAAAGGTCAGTACCACCCATCTGTGCATTTCTCATTCTCCATGACTCAATATTGGGTGCCTCACTGTGAGTTTAGGGTTTTTTTTTCCTTTTTCTTTTAATTGTTAGCTAAGCTGTAACACTGGCCACTCAAGAATGTTAACAATGTCCATGGTAGCAAATTATTTTAGAAACTCCTTTTAAATTAATTCTGGAAAGAGTTATGTGGTCATTCAAAATGGAAAACGATATGAAAAACTTGGTGCTGATTAATAGTAAGAAGAGGATCAATTGAAAGAATGCATGTAAGGGCACACAACAAACTGTAAAATCCTAGACAGGTAAGTTATTTCTATTATTGTTAACAATAACAACAATGAAACCACCAGTGTTAATATTGAGATGGTCTAAAACAAAGCCTACGATGAGTCTGTCTACAATTGTCCACTTGATTACAAAAATAAAGATCGTCATCAGAGACTAGTCTTAGGAGGTGTGAGCTGGGTCACCTGATGCTGTGTGGCCCTCTCTTCCCACAGTACCTGCTGAAGTATGTATCGGGCACAACCTTAAAGGGGCAAGGGAGTCACAAGGGAGCAATCTTAGCATGGATCAGGGTGTGGCAGAAGACTTGCCAGAGTGTGTATTTGTGTGTGTATATGTATTTCATTTATTTGTTTATTACATGTACCAATATATGCCTATATTTTTAGTAGCAGCTTGCAGCCACATGCCCACCTCCTTAAACTTAGATCTCAGAGCTTGGGGTCAGAACTTGAAGAAGGATGTTTCTTTACTTTTCTGGCTGTTTCTCTTGATGTGTCTAACTCTCCTTCTGTCCTCTATGCCTGTTGCGTTCTTGACTCTCTTGCCTTCTATTCTGTTGCCCCCTCACTTTATCTCTCCTTTCTCTATTGCCTCACGTTGCCTTCCTTTCTTTATTCACCTTTCCCTGAACTAAGCCTCTGGGAAGTATTCCAGGAATTTGCTTTTTGTCCTTCAACTATAGGGGAGTATAATTTGAAAACATTTTTCATGAAATCAGACGAGACCTTACAACTTGAGTGGTCAAGTATGGTATGTACTTTCTGTGGCTCATTAAACACTTAAAAATAAAAATTGGGTCTGGAACTAGCTTTGTCTTTTAATGGACTAAGGTTTTCAGAAATTTAGGCTTCTCTCTCTCTCTTTTACTGCTAAGTGGACTCTAAAGTAACTTGTAGGTGTTAGGGTCAGACGGTTACTCCAGTAAAGGGGGAAGGGGCAATCTGGCACCAATTGAATGGTTTCCCCATTGACCAGACTCACAGCAAATAACATAGGTACTATCAAGAGATTGTGGTGTTTTCCTTCTCTCCTAGGATGCTGCCTCCCTTGGCTCTCAGAAAGGTGGGATCACCAAGCATGGCTGGCTGTACAAAGGCAACATGAACAGTGCAATAAGCGTGACCATGAGGGTAAGGAGGCCCATCACCGTACTTTTCTCTCTGATTAAACCCTTTTTGCTATAGGTCTTAGAAGTAATGCTTAAGATGAATGGGCATGGTGTTTCTCCTGACAAAAGTGACATTGTCTGGGTAGTAAGCTGCCTCCCTGGTCATCAGTCCCCATTAGTACAGACCCTTCGACCCATGTCCCCTCATCACCCTCTGACCACCAGCATTAAGAGATCATCATTGGGCTAGTGCAAAGGTGCAATTGCCAACACAGGCTTTCTTCTCTATATTAACTACCCAGTTACCTGGGGCATTGGCATTTGTTCTGGAGAGAATTGAAATGGTTTTTACATATATGCATGGTTGTGAGTTATTAATAGAGATCGTGACTTTTCATTTTTGAAACAATAGCTGTGTATTTTTCTCTCAGTCTTTTAAAAGACGGTTTTTCCACCTGATTCAACTTGGTGATGGATCCTACAATTTGAATTTTTATAAAGATGAAAAGATCTCCAAAGAACCAAAAGGATCAATATTTCTGGATTCCTGTATGGGTGTGGTTCAGGTAAATATGAAAAGAATTTTATCATCAAGTTTTCTTGCTTGTAAAAGTACCATCTGTGAATTAGCAGATTTAAGCAAATGCTTCCAAAATTGGCAATATTTGTGGTAGAAATATAATAGCTGACTTTAAAATTGTCTTATTTTTTATCATTTTAGAAGATGGCAGGTATAATATAGAGGCAGAATTATGTCGTAGTAGGCATGAGTGCTCTGATGCATGAGTTCTTGTGTTTAAAATGTGGCTCAGCTGCTTTTTAGCTATGTGACCTTGGGCCAGCTATTACCTGAAATTTCTTCATTTGCAAAATTTGGATAATGATACTGTTTCCTTAGTAGAATAAATGAGAGGATTGCATGAGTTAACTTGGAAATATGTAGAATAGTTCTTAGCATCTCAGTGATGACTTTTTTTTTTTTTGGTGAGGAAGATTGGCCCTGAACTAACATCTGTGCCAATATCCCTCTATTTTGTATGCGGGACACCTCCACAGCATGACTTGATGAGCAGTGTGTAGGTCCATACCTGGGATATGAACCTGCAAACCCTGGGTCGCCAAAGCTGAGTGTGTGATCTTAACCACTGTGCCACTGGACTGGCCCCCTCAGTGATGACTTTTACCACCACCATCATACTACCAGTAGCAGAGTAGCATATTGGTCAAGAGATTGGGTTTCAGATCCAGAATGAGTTCAAGTTCCTGCTCTACCACTTACCAGCTGTGTAACATGAAGATATTTTTTAACCTCTCTGTGCCTCAGTTGCCTCATTTGATAAATAGGATAATAATAGTACTGAATATGATTACTAAGAGGATTAATTAATACATATAAAGATCTTAGAACAGTACTGGCACAAGATAAGCTTTCAGCCGACATTAGGTATTTTTATCATAGTGCTATTGCAGTTGTAGAGTTATTCTTTAAAATGGTTTTGAATTATACATAATACATGAGTGTATACGTATTATAAAAAATCAGACAATTCAGATAATGTGGAAGTTCTTGTTGACCCCCATCACTCCTTTTCCCAAAGAGCTGCTCTTACCAGTTTGATGTGCGTCCTTCCGTACTTTACAGAATTGTCTTTGAAAACAAGTTGCCAGTTTCCCCATCTGTCTGTCATCTATCCATCCAGCCATCCATCCTCCCATTTACCCATTCCCCTGCCATTTTCCTAGGAGATCTAAAGCAGCAACTTACAAGGATACATAAAACACAGGATAGCATAAATTTAATGTGGGTTTTAAAGCAGAGAGGTGAACAAGGAGTCAGGGTAGGGAGGAGATGAAGTGGAATTAAGCTAAGAAAAAAGCATATGTTTTAAAGACTGCTGTGGGTGAGTGAGAAACAGCTCCACGCTTTCTAGCTTGGAGACCCGTTCAGTCGCACAGTACACATGGATACAGACAATCCAATTAGTCAGAAGCTGCCCGAGTAATCTCAGAATGAAGATCATTCAGGCATTTCTCTTGGGGGCCCTCATACAGAGGGCACTGTGTGATTAATGAAAATCTCCCTGACAACTCCTCACAATAGATAGAGTCACCATTATCAGAGAATTCTTCCTTAAAATGACTCAGTGTTGGCTGCTGACATGGCCCAAAGCTCGGTTCTATAAGAAAGGTTGTTCTGTGGGGCCAGCGTGATTAAGGTTAGACATGTAGCTCTCTGGTTTGACCTCCCCATGTTCACATGTTTATTTAAAATTAAATTGCTTTTTCATCCAGGTAATACATTCATCTCGTTTAACTAGTCAGACTGTGGAAAGACAGCACTACAGGCACATACCTGCCTGCATTACCCCCACTTCACCCACTCCCCTGAAATGATCATTTTCAACTCTTTCCACTCTTTTTTCTGGAATTTGCCTCCATATTGCTAGATTATGAGTGATTGCTGCTCTTTATTCATCAACTGTGGACATTATCTGATGGTAGATGGCATTTTAGCTACTGCAACCCCGCTTCCTGTCTAACCTGGACTAATTGCTTTCTCAGCCTCTGCATAGCTGCCATGCTGGAAATTCCCTTTTCCTTCCTCCCTGTGTTGGATTCCATTTCCAGGATCCTGTGTCTTTCTTGTTTTACTTTCTTGTTTTGGGGGAGCACATCCTCTAGGAGCATCCTGAGAAATCGTGTGTTAAGATGTTAGTTTTTTGAGAGTTAGCATATCTGCAAATATCTTTCTTTTGGCATTCATACTTGATAGATAATTTGGCTGGATGTAGAAATCCAAGGTGAAATTTACTGTAGAATTTGAAGACATTTCATTATCTTTTAGATGCTAGTGTTATTTTGGAGTCTGATGTTAGTCTTATGCTCTATTCTTCTTGATCTTCTCTTGATCTCTAGTAACCTGAAATTTAGTTTATTGTGTCTTGATTTTGATTTTTTTGGTAAACTTTTTTGTTAAAGTATAACATACAAATAAAAATATACATATAATGAATGAATGACTGAATTTTTACTGAGTTTGGATTTCTTTACCTCCGAGTTCTCATTCTGGAAACTCTGTCCTGCACATTGAGGCCACGTTGTTCTTCCTGAACTCCCGTCAGGAGTTGGTCTTCAACTCAGCAAGTCTGCAGGACTCTGTTTGGGTTCTCCTTCCTGTGCCCCCATCCAGATATAGCCTCCAGGCAGAAAGCTGAGGTGATAGTAGGGCTCCCCTCATTTGTATACCTCCTATCAGGGATCACAAGCCTGCCTCACCTTTTGTCAAATGTTTGGAAATAGTTGTTTCATCTATTTTGTCCAGTTTTCTAGTAATTATGTTGGAAGAGTAAGTCCAAACCCTGTTACTTTATCATGACAAGAACTGGAAGTTAGGGTTCCAAACTCAGATATCTACAGGGGTCAAGCAGATAAATTAAGTGAAAGAAGAGGCCTGGGTGCCAAGCAATAGGGAATACTGGGGACTGTGACAACCTGGAGCACAGGTGGTCCTGTTTAAAGCAGGCAGCTGCCTCTCAGTTGTAACTGATGCTGCCAGGTGAAACTACCAGCTCAGGGTTGCCAGATCATCTGGGTTTTCAAGAAAGCCAGAAATTCAAAATTTAGTTAAATCTTGGTATTTTTAATTATCAGTAACTAATTAAAAAATGAAAAGAACTGTGCAGGACCAAAAACAAAAACAAAAAAAAAAAAGGGAGAATACATGAAAGTATATTTGAGCCCTAGATCAAGACTATAGCACTATGTAATATTCACTGAAAATTATTTTTGCATCAACAGCCAATAGACACATGATGTCTCTCAGCTAGTAACCCAACGTCAGCTATAAGCTGCCATGGTAGAAACCAAATTATATCAAAGTATGTTTATTCATAGAGTAAAGTAAGAAGTACTGGAGAGAATTATCAATGACAGTGAATTAACTTCTGTGTGGGATTCCCAAGTAGGAGTTTCATTTGTATTCTTAAGCTGAGAGACATTTTAAGTTACTTTTTAGTTGAATTTTCTGGCGTTGACTTTAAAAAAACATTTAAAGCAAAACTAAATGTATTTGACAACCTCATTTTGAAAGTAGGAAGTAATTAGTTTTGTTGCCTGTCTTCGGCATGGTGTGTAGATGATTTATAAGTACAGCATACCTGCTGTTATTTAGTCCCTGGAATAAGTTTCAGAATCTAAGGTTCTGACTTTAATGGACATCTCTTCCTTTATATTCTTCTTGCAGATGTGGCTGATGGTGTTTAACACTTAATGAATTGTATGTAGGGCTTCAAAAATTTAAAATAATTTGTTTTTTTGGTGTCTCTTTGTAAGCTAAGTGCCAAAAATTGTGGTTTAAATGGGTTTTCTTTTAAATTGCATTGGGACATTGTAAAAAAAAATTAATTGATGAATGCTATGGGTTCAAAGACATGCCTAAGCTAACATTTTTAAATGAATCTGAAAAAATCCAGTTTAGATTCTTGGGGCCTGAAAGTATTTTAGAAACTTGAAGTTTATTACACTTATTTTGCAGATAAGTAAACTCAGGCTCAGAAAGAGGAATGACTTAGATTCAAGGCCTTATGTTTCCCCTACTTTTTAACTTTTTATTTTCATAATCGTGAGTATGTGAGGAGTGTGGGAGAGAGAAAACTCATTTCATATCCAGCCTTTTGACTCCTCTGATTCTTGCCTTGAAGTGAAGTTTAAGTGAGGTCCAAGGTGGCAATTACAGAGCCCACAGCAGGCAGTCTGTGCACAGTAGTTTGTGTGGCTTTGCCCGGAGCCGCACTCTCCTTCGTGTTTCTGAGAACTGCACTGCAAAGAACATAGAGATGCCTTTGGGAGGGTCACCCTGTCCCTGAGACCCACCCTGAGGAGCCCCCTCAGGGACTGCCGCTATCCAGCTAGAATTTTAGCAGATAAGGGCTCTGCTGTCCCTTCGACAGGTTGGTGACAGCTTGTGATATAACATTCTGGGGGGGATTTTGCTCACCAGAGGACATTTGGTAATATCTGGAGACATGTTTTGATCTTCACAACTTGGGGTATGCTACTCACGTCTAGCGGGTAAGGCCAGGGATGCTGCTAAACATCCTCCAAAGCACAGCACAGCACCCACAACAAAGAGTTATTAACCTCAAATGTCAGTAGTGCTGAGGCTGAGAAACCCTGGTCTAGGGCTCATTCGTCCTCTGTCATTTAATGCGTGTGGACTGCTGGTTTTGTGCTGTGAGCCAGACGCCCTATCACAGGCATAAAAACCAGAGGCACGAGGGAAGGTTGCAGACATGGTGTCCAAATATCTTTTGGGACTCATAGATGATGAGAAAGTTCCAGATAAGGAAGTCAAACATATTGCTAGATAATGATTTGCTTTTTAAAATGTGACACCACACAACTTCGTTAAAAAAAAATAGAGGAATTGAAAATTTTCAATGAAATTTCATTCATTCAACAAATATTTTTTTTCAAGAGCCTGTTATGTGCCAGGCAGTGTTCTGGAAATAGGGATGTAGCATTGAACAAAAGAAATCTCTGCCCTGAGGAGCTTCCCTTCCATTTGAGGGGACAGACAACAAGTGAGATAAATATGTAAAGTATGTAATGTGTCAGATGGGAAAATAAAGCTGTGGAGAAAAAGTAGGGAAGGTGGATAGTGATGGGAGTTTATGGGGGAGGGGCTTGCACTTTTTAGATTGCTTCGCCCAAAATGCCAGTGAGATAGCACCCATCAGCAAATAATAAAGAGAATTTTTCTTAAAGCCATCTAGTTCTTTTAAAATGTGTCTCTTTACCCTTTTCCCATTTCAGAACAACAAAGTCAGGCGTTTTGCTTTTGAGCTCAAGATGCAGGACAAAAGTAGTTATCTTTTGGCAGCAGACAGTGAAGTGGAAATGGAAGAATGGATCACAATTCTAAACAAGATTCTCCAGCTCAACTTTGAAGCTGCAATGCAAGAAAAGCGAAATGGAGATTCTCATGAAGGTAAGTAGGCCCAGCTTTCTCCAGGTACACACACTCTGCGGGCATCTTTACTTTTGCCCAAGGACATAGGAAGTAGACATATATGTTACACAGGTATGTGAGAAATGGGACAGATGTGAGCTCTTTACAGATATCCTGTCAGCAAAGGTTTTGTCACGTTAAAATTCACTACCCTGACATCATTTTTAAAAGGAAATCGTTCAATGGGAAGAACCACAGCTTTGGGGGCAGAAAGGAAGACTGAGTCCCAGCAATTCCATTTTTCAGCTGTGAGACCTTGGGCAAGCTATTTACATTTTCTGAACCTTGGTTTACTCACCTGTAAATTGAGAATAAAAATGAAACTTGCTGGTCAATGGGAAGATTAAATAAGATAACGTATTTCAAGTACCTGGCATAGAGTCAGCACTTAAAATACTGTTTATAGTTGGTTATCATTAATCATATCCTTTGGAATTTTCATGACAAATTTAGGGTGGGCAGAAGCCTCAGATTAAATTGGTGGAAAAAATCTGGCTGTGTTCTTGAAAATTCATGTTTTTTTTCCAAGACCTTAAACAGGTGATTCTCAACTGTAGCTGTGCCTCAGAAGGGCCTGGGAACTTTTAAAAAATACTCTTTCCTTTGTCCCACCAGAGATTCTGGTTTACTTGACCTGGGGTGGAGCTGGGCAGGCCTGACTTTTAGTGGGTCTGTTGAGTGACCGTGTGGGCTGGTGTTCATAGCTAGTTCAGTTCTAATTAGACAGTGTCCGTGCTATACCAGCCATTAAATGTTTAGCTCTCACCACTGGGCCTGGGTATCACTTTTTAAAACCTCTGAAGTGTTTCTAGTGGGCATCCAGAGTTGAAAACCACTGCATTTGGAGGCACATAAGAGAAACGACCTTCTGCCTCCTGTTTTAAATAAAATATGTTCAATTTACTAGTGACTTAGGTAATCTGTGTTTCCATTTTAGATGATGAACAGAGTAAATTGGAAGGTTCTGGTTCCGGTTTAGATAGCTATCTGCCTGAACTTGCCAAGGTAACATCATCTTAAATTTTCTGCTCTTTATAGAATGAATGATATTGAAGTATTTCTCATTTCATGAGTTTGTCCAGGATGGAATCTGTTGAAATGATGAACGATTATGTTGTGGTAAATCATTGTAATGATGTTGTAGTTACTGCTCTCTGTTTTCTGACCTGAATTTGAGGTGAGGTGAAATACATTACTGACCTGAGTTGGATTTCAGTGTGTTTTCCAGAAAGTGCCTTAAAAGTATTCCCTTATTATTATTCTTTACTTTTCCCTCCATAACATTCAATACTGCGTTGCAAGTATTGAAGAAATAACCAAAATGCACAGGTAGATGTTCCTATAGTAACATGGTACTCACTCTGTTCACACATATGCTCCCCCTTATTCAAGTTAATAGACACAATTCCAAAGATGATGGATCGTGGTAATCTTGCCACTAAACCGGAGAGGGGTTGCCTGAGAGTTATATAAATTGTTCCAGGGTCACTCTGAATGGAAAAAAAAAGTTATACCTGTTTTTTATCATTTTGAGAAACTTAAAAGTTACTGAAAAGCACAAAGAAGATCAAAACAACCATATTTCCACCACCTAGATTCAACACCTGTTACTGTATTGTCTTTTTATCTTCCATATTTTTAAAGAAATAATATGCCAGTTGTGGTTGAAGTTCTTTTTAAACACCATCCTTACTGCATTCCCTTCTGCCCCTGCAACCTCAACCAGAGACAACCACTATTATGAGTTTTCCGGGATTACTTCTTTTTTTTTTTTTTTAAAGATTTTATTTTTTTCCTTTTTCTCCCCAAAGCCCCCCGGTACATAGTTGTATATTCTTCGTTGTGGGTCCTTCTAGTTGTGGCATGTGGGACGCTGCCTCAGCGTGGTTTGATGAGCAGTGCCGTGTCCGCACCCAGGATTCGAACCAACGAAACACTGGGCTGCCTGCAGCAGAGCGCACAAACTTAACCACTCGGCCACGGGGCCAGCCCCTTTCCAGGATTACTTCTACTTAATTTTTATATCTTTACCAGTGTATCTGTCATAATGATACATATGGTGTTATTTTTTATGTTTAAAAATGTTATGTAAATGCTGATGTATTATTCTGCTCTTGCTTTTATTTTTTAATTCATTTTCGTTTTTGAGATCCATCCAAGTTGGTATATATATCTAGCTCATCCCTTTTATTGCATTGTGTAAGCATTTTATTTTAGCTGTTCTATTATTTCAGTTTTTTTCTATTACAAACAATGCTACAATGAATATCCTTGTACTTGTCTCCTTGTATGCATCTATGAATGATTCTTTTTTAAGTAAGAGAAATATCTTTGTCTTCTCTGGCCCTTTATATTCTTCCTCTGTTACTGCCTTTCTGTTCTTTTTTTTGCGAATACAGTGAAATAGAAACCTTACATACCCACATCTTGAACACTGTAATAGAACACATGGTTTATCTGTATATGATTATAAATAGACAAGCATTCAGCATTGACCTTTAGTTTAAGACAACATGGCTGTTCTAAAACATAAATCTCCCTCCCTGGCTAGGACATTAGAGTATTGTTTTCCTTCAGGATTTGACTGTTACCACAGTATCTTTTTAGCACCTGCCCATTAAAGCCAATTTTAGTGCTACCATTGTAACTTCTTTCTAGGCTGGGACAGTTTTGGCTTGTGTTTTTGCATTTTCGTGTTATGAACTTCTGTGTAACATATTTTGCATTGAGATTTGCTTTTTTGTTTCTGAATATTTAGGGATTCATAATTTCTCAAAGCAAAATGTTTGAACCTGTTGTGTTTGTAGAAGCAGATAATATATGCAGTACAATGGAAAATTCAGAAAGTAACTGTCTACACTTCCTGGGTGAACATAATGGATACCTAGGAGAAGACTCATATTATTTGAGCCTAATGTTGATTAATTAGAAATCTGTATTTTTTCTTGTGAAGACAAACAGGAGTTGTGCCCTCCATTCTTCTCTCACTGCCTACCACTACTTGGCCAGCATAATTCAGTATTCCTTGATCCTAAGACTAGGAGATTAAAATATATATATATTTAAATAATATATTTATTTTAAAAATATGTATATAACATGTTTAGAGCTATTTTCAAACTGGGTAACAACCAAGTTAGCTGAAACTATTTTAGTTGGTAACATCAATTTAATTGGTTTTAACCCCTATTTTTACTTGTTTTTTGTTTTGTTTTAATTTTTTATTCTTTTTTTCTTGAAGTACAACTTACATAGAATAAAATGCCCAAGTACTAATTGTACAGCTTGCTGGATTTCTTTTTTTGTTTGTTTTTGAGGAAGATTAGCCCTGAGCTAACTACTGCCAGTCCTCCTCTTTTTTGCTGGGGAAGCCCTGCCGGAGCCAACATCCGTGCCCATGTTCCTCCACCCCATACATGGGACACCTACCACAGCACGACGTGCCAAGCGGCACCACGTCCGCACCTGGGATCCGAACCGGCGAACCCTGGGCCGCTGAGAAGCGGAACGTGCGAACCCAACCGCTGCACCACCCGGCCGGCCCCAGCTTGCTGGATTTCGCATTTGTAGAGCGCACAACCACCACCCAGATCAATATATAGAACGTTTCCAGCATCCCAGCAGACTGCTTTGTACTCCCCCCCTAGCTGATACTTCTATTATTTTTACCTCTACCTCATTGTAGATTAGTTTTGACTATTCTAGACCTGCCTATAAATGGAATCATACAGTACGTACTCTTTGTGTCAGGCTTCTTTAGCTCAACATTATGTGACCCAGATTTTTTAAAAAAATAAATGACATAGAACTGAATGGAGAATATTAAAGTACATTGCCCTTAATAATGATAGGTATTATTTTTTTAAAAAAACTATACATATAGTGTGTGTGTGTGTGTATTGAGTAGTGATGTAAGCATATTTCTTACTGTGGATCATGGTCCAAGCGTGAAAAATGCAGCATTGTAAGAGGTTAACTGTCATTCTCTTCCCCCAGCTCTCAAGTGTTTTAAAAATATTTTTATTCATGAATAAAAATATTTTACAAAAAGGCAGAAGATAATTTTTCAAAGGGAAAAAGAAAAAGAATAAAGAAAATTAAGATGTATTGTCATTCACTCAACATACTCTCATCACACCTGGAGGGGGCAGGTGTCTTGGCCTACTCAGTGCTGTGCAGTGGAAGGAGCCCGCGCACCATTGTGCCTGGCTCTCAGCCCCTTCAGAATCCAGCGACCTTAGTGTGAGTGTATTTTTGGCTGTTTATAACCCCCTACAGTATATCTGAGGTGGGGATCATTTGTACCTGTTAAGACAGCAGAGAAGTTGACTGATAACTGGTCATCCTGTTTTTAGAAAGAATGGATTCCATTGTTGCAGAATCTGAGATTGAAGTAGAAAGTGGGAGGGGGAGCAGGAGAGAGGCTGGAGGCACACAGCTGTGCAGGGAGGGGAGTTTAGACAGGGGATGAAGAGGTAATGAGGTCAGGACCAGGGAAGGAAGGTGTAAGAAAGGGTCCAAAGGGAGATCAGGCCACAGTTAAGTAAGATGGCAGAGAAAGGACTAGAACAATGCGGGCAGGCAGAAGGTAGTTGAAGATGTAATTTAATGGCAGGCTTTCCTCTGGTCAACTCCTTCTTCTGCTTCATTCATCCTGTTTCCCTAGCTTTTGTTTTCCACTGTGACTGAGACATAACCAAACAGGATATGAGCGACAGGAAGTTGTTTTAGTACAAAAATAACCACTGTTTCGTTCTGGAATATAGTGGAGGGGCCCTTACATATGGTAGGGGCAATTCAGATTTAGGTTTTCAGAATATTTTGTTTATTCTTGGCCCTTATGTTGTTTGTACATTTAGTACCGAACATCTTTATTGTTTTCTTATTAGGGGACATGCTGTATCTACCCTAAAACTTCTTCCTTTCCTGCTATTGTCTAATATGGAACCAAACATATTATTTGTTGTAAATTTAACAGCATTTATAGTATCAGAGTACAGTCTTATAAGCATTTTTATTAAATACACAAACTTTAAAGTTAGTTAATTGGTTTCTTCCCTGCAAAGTCAAGGGGTAATATGATCAGGTTGTAAACCTGATTACTATTTATTTAATAATTTCCTTCTCTGGTTACATTTATCTTAGGTGACATTGGGATATATGTATCACCTCCTTGTGTAAAGATAGTATGAAGAAAACCCTCGTGCTTCTGCCTATATTTTCCTCCACAGCTTTTCTGTTTTTGAGCTTTTTTTGTACTCAAAGGACAGCAACTCACCTTAATTTGGTGTCCTCATGTGATTCTGAAAGAGAAGCATTGTTTCATGTTAATCCAAAATTGCTCACATCCTGTTAGCTTATAACTTCTTTTTAGCAAATGAACTTATCTTTCTAGGTAAATCTTCCACAGTTGAAAGCAGGATAAAGTATGATGTCTCAGAGTATGAGGAGGAGGAAGAGCCAGGGGGCCAAGCTCACCAGTACTTGTTGGAACCCAGTTTCACAGATGCCTTTTTTGATTTTTTTAAAACTAAGCCTGTAATAGATGCTTCCTTCCCTATATCCTAATCCAGAAATCTCTGTTACTGTATTATGATACAAAGGAATTGGCTAGGGTTGTGTTTGTGAGGTCAGCTGGCATTCTATTTCTTGGGCCTCCTTGTTCTAAAATGCTTTATTATAGTTTTGTGACACAGAGGATGAGATGATCGTCCCAGGGAGTTAGATATCTTGGAAGTAGTGGAAACAAATCATGACAGCTCTTTAAATTAAAAAGCATATATCCTGGCCTCAAAGGATTTTGCTAAGTCTTCCTATTCCAATCCGTTCTGTTTAAATGACCTAACAATCAACACAATATTTTTTTGATAACTTATCCTCAAAATAAGATGCTATTGGTGATAGTCTTCGCATTTTGATTGTTTTGCCTGCTCAGAGATAAACTCAAGACACTGAGTATGCATGAAGCTTACAGTAGTCCTTCTCGAAACTCTTGAGTGTTTGGTCCATAACTGCTTCTTAAGACAAAGAAGGAAACATTGTCAGGGTGTGTCGTTAGTGACTAAACATAGGGTTTGCAGGAGTGGGGAGAATAGCTTTTGTTTTAGACAAATCATTCTCTTCTTTGACTCCTGAGCAAATGTGAGTTTTTACAGAGAAGGGCTCTGCCACTGTCCGTTTTCTTCCTCCATTGTCTTCTCATTTTCTTCTACACTGAACCCAAAGTAGTAGGTGGGCTATGGGTGGGACGGCAGCAACAGGGTTTGGGGAAGAGCCAGTCCACTTCTTCCTACCTCCACCGTATGGACTGACCACAGGTTATTTTAAGAGCACAGCTGTTTTCTCTCACTTTGAAAAGTACTTGACAGCATAGTCTTTGGGATAATGTTTTTTTACAGTTTTTTTTTGTGGGCCCTTAGATTGTGAAGTGTATGTTATAACAATTTATTTTATTGTCTTTACTAAAATATAAATGTGCTTGCTGTAATAAGTAAAAATATCCAAAGATGTATAAAAAAAAGTTAATCTTTTCCCTTCATCCTCCATTTCCACATTCTTGAGAGCACTGATGTTGTTAACCTATTGTAATTCATCTTTTACCAAACTGATTGCTCGTAGAAATATATACACACATATGTAGAGTTTTTAGTTATTTTTGAAAATATGCTCATGATATATACATTACTCTGCAACTTGTTCTATCACTTAAAAATATTTCATGGATGTCCCTCTGGGGCCATAGACGATCTAGTTTACTCATTTTTATAGTTGCATAATATTCCAAATATGAATATTGCATACTTTATTCAGCTGTCTCCCTATTCATGAACATTTAGGTTTTCAGTTTTTAGCGTCTACAAACAGTGTACAATAAATGTCATGACCTATTTGTCAGCTTAAATGCTTGTGGTCCTGTTGCAGTAGGAAAAATTCCCAAAAGTGGGATTTTTGAGTCAGAAGTTATTGTGTTTTTAATGCTTTAAATGTTGCCAGGTTACTTTCCCAAAGGGTTGTAATGATTCACATTCCCATTTCTCTACATCCTCACCAGAGGAGTGAAAAATTGTATTTCACTACTTTGATTTGTATTTTGCTGCTTAGTAGTGACGTTTTTTCATATTTTCATATATTTATTTGCCATTTGTATTTCTTCTTCTCCCACTTGCCTGTTCATATTCTTTAGCTATGTTTTTTTCTTGTCTAATAGTTAAGAGTTGAGCTCTGAAGCCAGACAGCCTCAGTTAGATGCCAGGCTTCTATTTAATGTTGTAGGGTCTTGGGCAAACTATTGAACCTCAGTGTCTTCTCTTTTAAGCAGGGATAATAATAGTATCTGCATCCTAAGATTGTACGAAATTTAAATCAGCACTTAGGATAATATGTAGCATGGAGAGTTGGCTATTATCAATAAATAAATTTGCTTTTATCATTATGATACTTACACATACTTATTATTCTCTGGCTCTGGGGCAAAGCTATGCCCTTCTCAAGCTACAGTTTCTTACCACGTAGGTTTCACTTGGTAATTCCTTCAGCCACTGTTTATCAGGTGTCCCCTCTGTTTAGTGCGTCCTAGACCTTGGGAAGGATGGAGAAACTGAAGAAGCTGAGTTTGCCTTTTATCTTATCTCGTACCAGAGCTGTCAATGTATGTAAGAGAGTATAAGCTTTTAGGTTATTTTTATATCTAATGTTGCCTCTTGTTTCCCATTAGATGGTCTCTTTAGTGAAGAATATATCCTTTGGATGTTAGTGGCAACATCAGAATGCTTTGAGTGTGTTTTGGCTAGTCGTTGACTTTTTTTCCCTTTTAATGTGTCTGCATCCCTGTTTGTCCTCTAATTATATTGAGCTCATAGCAGCCATTCTTGCTTTATTCATTTCTCATCTCCTAGTGCAGTCAGCTTGAGACAACAAGCTTCTTTCAGAAGGGTACCAGGAATTTCATCTACATTAAGAACCCATTGCCCTTCCCCAGTGTCCGAGATCACAGTGTTTGCCTTTGTTGAAGGACTCAAGCAGAACTTCAGAAGCAGAATGCATTGCTGTTGGTGGTGGCTTGCAGCACCTAGTACTGATGTTTTTGTTAAGAAACGTCGTGGGTGGTATACAAAGTAAAAAGCAAATTCTTTGGGTTCAGTTAAGTAGATTCTACATGCAAATATTTTGGCTCTTTTGATGTGAAAAATTAGGAAAGGTGATAGGCAAAATGGAGTAAAAAAGTGGCCCCATCTCCCATGTGGAGAGAGCCTGCTTCAGCCACATTTTCCCCTGTGAACAGATGTTTTGTAGGAATGTCCCTTAACCTCCAGAAGACTTAAAACTCCTGTAGATAGCATCAAGATAAGCTTTGTTATGGCAAGAGACTTGAGCCATCATTCTTGTTCAACATTTTTACTCAGAAATGAAAATAGAGTCCAGGGAGGCTAACTGGCTTGCCCAAGTTCACACAGTTAACAGCTGAACTAGAATCCAGTTTCTTAGTATTCTGGTGGTCATTTCATCTTGCTAGACGTAGACCGTTGGTTAAATATAATCATGAAAGAGTTTGGATCATTGCTAAGAACCTAGTTTAGCAACTTCATGGCTGAGAAAATTAAGATGACGCTCAATTTCTCATTAGCTATGATTAGATATGTAGTAATAGACCTCATTCTGCCACCAGCAGAGAGGACAGGACACCCTCTCTACTATGGCTGTCACCGCCCCATCATATCCTGAGATGTGACTAATGTCTTTGGGGAAAGGAGCAGATGAGAGAGGACTTTTTATTCTGACTCTGTAGACTTAACCATGGAGATTGAGAGTAAGAAAGAGCTGTGACAGCTATGAAGAACAGGCTATAGATTTAGAGATATTAGGTGTGAGAAATGTGGTTGGAGATGACTTCTATCTTGTGAATGTCTTTGAAGCTTCTTCTCCTTTCTGTTCCCAAATCCCTTCTTCTCCAGCCCCCATCTCTGCCACCATATGTCTCATTCCCTCAATGTCTTCTCTTCTGTCCATCCCCTTCAGTGTTAGGGCAGACTGACTTTCACACTTTCCCCAGGAGATCTCATCCACTCCCAAGACTTCCATCCCGCCAGGCTGATGTTCTCCAGGTTTGTAATTCCAGCCTTCCTCTCCACCCTGTGCTTGATCCCATCTCCCTAGCTGTCAACTAGGTGTTTCTAGTTGGAAATCCCACATACACCTCCAAACTCCACTTGGCCATTCTTCTTCCTGAATTATCTATCTCAGTTAATGGATTCACCAGTCAGCAGGCCACCCAAGCTAGGATGTGGGATTTGTTATGGGCCCTGCTGTAAAACTGGCAGACTGTTGTGATAATCTAGGAGAGAGCATGTGGGCCTCTCAGTCTTTCTTTTTAATCCATTGCCCCAGCCCTACCTGAGTGATACTTCTAAAATGGCAGAACTGGTTATTTTATTCCCTTGCTTGAAGTACTGCAGGATTTTTTGGATTCTGAATGAATCTCCAGTCTTTAACATACAAATCTCAGACATTTCTTTTTACTTTTCTCATCATGCCCAACCATTCAGTTGTAATGAATGACTTGGTCATTGCTCAGGTGTGACTTGTACCTTTATACCTCCTCCTGGAAGTCCTTCTCTCCTTTTGAGCCCAAATATTCTTGTCCTTCAAGATGGGCCTTCCTCTGGCAGCTGTTTCCTGACTGCCACCCCCTAGTTCAGGTTACCTCTCACTGTACCATATGCTTTCTTTCGCCATTCTTATTGCCTGTTTATATTCTGTCTCTTCAGATGTCCCTTAGAGATAGGGACTTTGTATCATTCATGTTTGTGTCACTAGTGCCTGACATATGATAAGTGCTCAATAAATATTGACTGAATAAATCAGCAATGCCCTCTTTTGCCTGCCACAAATACCTATGGCTGTCCTTCAAGATCTGCCATAGTTTTCTCTATTCCATCACCTAAAAATATATCCCTTTCTCTTCCTTTGCTTGTATCAGTCTTAGACTGGACCCTAAATCCTTTCTACCATCTCAGTTCATTTCCACTCTCAGTGTCTATCCATGCTGTGCATCCTTTTCATTCTGCCTGAAATATTCATGTTGTCCTTCTTTTTGCTGTCTAAATTTTACTCCTTCATTCAAAGCCTGTCTCTTATTCTGTTATTTTATGAAGCCTCTCTTGATAGGAATACTTAGTTATTCTCTTCTGCTTTCTTTGTGTTGGCTTTGAGTCTCCAATTGATTTTCAGCTTCATAGGAGTAGAGATCAAGTCTTGACTTCTTTTTCTCCCATAGCGCTTATGCTATGTGCTGCATAATTGATAGTCTCTCCTTCTTCACTGGCATACAGTTGACTCTCCAATATAAGGGCAGAGTTGTCTGGCAGCCTGGCTCTTCAGGATGGGGCAGCTTTCAAACATCTTTGAACACTTTTGTAAGAATAGGGGTTTTGGGGTTTGTTTTTGGAGGAAGATTAGCCCTGAGCTAACATCTGCCACCAATCCTCCTCTTTTTGCTGAGGAAGACTGGCCCTGACCTAACATCCGTGCCCATCTTCCTCCACTTTATATGTGGGATGCCTGCCACAGCATGGCTTGACAAGCGGTGTGTAGGTCCGCACCCGGATCCAAACTGGCAAACCCCAGGCCACTGAAGTGCAACGTGTGAACTTAACCACTGTTCTACTGGGCTGGCCCCAAGAATAGGGTTTTTTAAAATGTAATTTTAATTTTTTGTTATCTTATCAGAGTGCCAGAGAAGCAGAAATCAAACTGAAAAGTGAAAGCAGAGTTAAACTTTTTTACTTGGACCCAGATGCCCAGGTAAGAACTATTTTAATACTTAAAATTTAAAACTAACATGAGGAAAGATAAACGTTTGTCGGGTTATTTATTTATTTGCATGTTTATTTTGGATTGACAAGCAATGTAACAATATAGAAAATTTAGGGGAAAGAGGAAAAATAAAAACAACTTATCATCTCATCACCTTACTATTACTATTGTGAGGATTTGATAATTCAGTAGATTGTTGAAAATTGAGGGAGAGTGATCAGTTTATCCAAAGACATTCTTAAGTTCACAAAGAACATATGTTACACTGTAAAATAACCATGAGAAAATAGCAAGCACTACTGCAGATGCCCAGTACACAATATTTCCCAGTTAGCCCGGGCTCAGTCCCAAATACAAGCCTTGCAGTGCGTGCGGTCCACATCTGTGTCCCAACAGAATCCCAAACGTGGCATAGCAAGGACATTCAGGGCTGACCACAGAGAGGGTTGCTCCGAGGGGACAGCAGTTCTGCTGTATTCTTCCTGTATTTTTCCCTTCTTCATTTGTGGTCTTTTATGTAGAACTTCTTTTCCCCATTTAACTTCAATAATAAGTATTTTTCTGTGTTTCTTCACAGACTTCATAACCACACATATAAATATTTTTTGCTTTTTGACATTTGTTTATTGTGGTGAAATATGCATAACATAAAATTTACCATTTTAACCATTTTTAAGTGCACAATTCAGTAGGATTAGGTACATTCACAACTATTGTTGTACAGCTATTGTTGTATTCATTTCCAGAAGTTTTTCTTCATCCCAAACAGAAACTCGGTACTCATTAAACAATAACTTCCCTTTCTTCCTTCCCCTCACCTCCTAGTAGCCTCTGTTCTATTTTCTGTGTCTCTGAATTTGCCTATTCTAGGAAGCTCATATATGTGGAATCATATAACATTTGTCTTTTTATATCTGGCTTGTTCCACTTAGCATGTTTTTATGGTCCATCCATGTTGTAACGTGTGTCAGAATTTCATTCCTTTTTATGGCTGAATAATATTCTATTGTGTGTGTATACCACATTTTATTTATCCCTTGATCTGTTGATGGACCCTTGGGTTGTTCATAACCATAATTTTTAACCTCTGTATACTCGTCTATTGAGTAGATGGCATCATTTATTTGACCATTATTATAAACTAGTATAAAATCGTAACACCATTGTGAGTAAATGAGTATATATAGCTTTTCCATATTTTAGGCCGTTTCCTTAGGATACGTGTATTATGGGACTTTTTTTAATAGGAGCATAATATATTTGTATATTTACATTTTCTTTTAAAGAAGCTTGACTTCTCATCAGCTGAGCCAGAAGTGAAACCATTTGAAGAGAAGTTTGGAAAAAGAATTCTCGTCAAGTGCAATGATTTATCTTTCAATTTGCAATGCTGTGTTGCCGAAAATGAAGAAGGACCCACTACAAATGTAATTTTCCTTTTTAAAAATAAAGATTTTTTTTTCTTTTAAATATTCAGAGGTTTCAGATGTGCCTGTTGCAGTTCCGTCTGGACATGAAATCCTAGTTCCTGGTGTCAAGGAGCTGCAGTGTTTAGGTCAGGATGCAGACGGCTGTTTAGCCTGTAGGGGCAGGATGTTTGTGACAACGGATGGGGATGGGGGCTGTTTCTCTTTAACAGTAATCTATAGCAACAATCATAAGTAGGTCTAGTAATTTCTTCTTTGATAACAGCATTCTTTTTTCCCCACAGTTTGAGCCATAGTGATGGTCTGGATTGTTTTGTTTTATTCAGGTAGAGCCTTTCTTTGTTACTCTATCCCTGTTTGACATAAAATACAACCGGAAGATTTCTGCTGATTTCCACGTGGACCTGAACCATTTCTCAGTGAGGCAGATGCTGGCCACCACATCCCCGACTCTGATGAATGGCGGTAGGCAGAGCTCACCTGCCCTTCAGGACATCCTTCATGAAGCTGCCATGCAGTATCCGAAGCAGGTGGGGGGCAGGAGCCCAGGAGTCATGCTGCTAAGACTTATCTTGCACATGCTATATAAATACATAGTGAGACTTTGTAATGCACAATTGGGGCAAATGAGACTGTTGATTATATTGATGGCTCATATAATTAGACAGTAAAAGCAAGTGGGAGAAGGAGAAGAGTGGTTTTTGATTTCTCATTTTTTTTTTAATAAACTTTCTGCTAGTTGCCTCCTCCACCAAATAGCCTTTTGGGCCGATGGTGAGCTATTGATGAGTTAACTGGTTTGTCTGTGCTTCCTAATAGCTAGACTGTTGGAGTGCTCTTTGCTGCTGTAGAACCTTTAATGTTCTTGGGATTTGTTTAACACAGTTGTGAATTCTACTCACTGAAGAAAATCGTTTGTTCCCTAGGGAATATTTTCAGTCACGTGTCCTCATCCTGATATATTTCTTGTGGCTAGAATTGAAAAGGTGCTTCAGGGGAGCATCACGCACGGTGCGGAGCCGTACATGAAAAGTTCAGACTCTTCTAAGGTAGGGGTGACTTTTATGCTTTGTGATGATAAACAACAATCAGAAAAAAGAGCTCATTGTTGAAATAGAAATGCTTAAAGAAATCAAAGTTAAACCATATTTATATTCTAAAGCAAGTAGACTCCTCTCCATAGATTTATTCTTATATTTAACCTAATGTATTTGATTTTCAACGAAAAGTTGTCCTATGTGTACATAAAATGCTTCATTTGGTTAGACTGTCCTCACATCATGGAATAATTTAAAAAGGAATTGCCAGCTTAATAGCAGACTCTGTCATTACAAAGTACACATGTATTCAAATAGCGTTCATTCCACTTGTTGATGTGTCTTTTGGGTTCTGGAGTTATTTTTGAGTCTGTTTACACTTGAATATGAGACTAGAGACAAGGAGATAATCTGGCCCGTAGTGTCAGTGGTTCAGGTGCATTTGTGTTTTGTTAGGCAGGGCAGGATTATGGTGGCAGAGGTGGTATGACCTTAGGGAGAAAAGAAAAAGGGAAACACACAAGACATATGTTTGGTGTATTTTCTTTACTTTGGTATAGTATTTGTTACTTGGGGAGTACCTAAGTGTGGACATACCATGGAAATATTGAATATTAGAAGTCATCTAGTCTAAGATCTTTCATACTTCCGAAAACTGAGGTATACAAAGGTTTAGTTACCTGCTCTGTGTCCCACAGCTATAGTGGCCAAAGGAGACCTGATTGTCACTTTCTAGCACATTGAGCTTCCTGGAGAGAGTAAGCTATTGAGTGCTGTCCCCGCCAGTTTTACAGTATTTTTAGTTAATTTCTTTCTTTCTTTTTTTTTTTTTTTTTTTTTTTACTTTTTATAAGTGGTCCTCTGAGAGATTTGCCCTGATACATTGACAAGGACTGGTCAGCAGTAGGAGGGAACACTCAGAGATTCTCCCAGAGGTTCACTGAGCTTATTCAGAGCTTCCTCTCTTCCTCTCTTTAGCCACCCATACATCACAAGTGTGTCCACCAAGATGCAGGATGGTCCTAAGGTTCTAGGAGTCAGAGACCTGGGTGCCGAGCACCTAACTAGCCTGGGTACTTTGGACAAATCATGTCTCCTCTCTGGGCCCCAGATGTACCATCGATAGTTGAAGTTGAACGTTACTACCTACCACTACCTTCCTCTCAGGGACAGTGGTAGGATCAAATAGATAATGTACGAGACAGTGCTGTGGACACCAGAAATCACTGATGCATGTAGGACTTCATTATTTATTACAGCCCCAGTCAAGGAAAAGCCCATAATACCCAGGCACATTACTTCAAACAGTATGCCTTTCTGGCTGATAAGAACTAAATGAAATTTGGTCTCTGGAGAGAAACTGTTTTATTTTTTAAATCAAGTTTGTAAAACCTTGGATGAGAAATTCTTTTAGCTCTTTGATGTTTTGATTAATAATCAATGAAAGCCCAAGATAAGATCTATTCTCCTGACTGTATATGCAACACATTTCCAAGGCCCTTATGCACCAACTTTGCTACTTCTGCCTGCCACATGCACAATTTGAAATTTGGCAGCTCGTGTTGGTGGAAAAACCACCTATCACTGTGGGCTAGACTTTACACTCTATCCTTCCCAGTGTCCAATGAGCATCTGCTGAAGTCTGCTCTTCCTTCATTATTTATGGAATGTAAAGCTCAGCCATGTGTACGTTATTCTGTGCATTTGCACCTCCAAAGCATTAAATTAAAGCAGGGATTAAGATTCAACCATCTTACATTAGAATAGAAGTTTTGGCAGAGACAGAGGGATTATTTTTTTCTATGTATGAAAATTGTCTCTTCATGTTTTTCAAGATGGTCTAGAATATCATTTGGAATAAATTTTTGTTTTGGAGGAAATTTTTTTGAAAAGTCTCTGTAGGTGTCCACCAAGAATAGATTTTTTTAAAAAGCAAAAAAAAGGGGGAAAAAAACCCCAAAAGGCAAAAATGAGTTTTTCACTCCGACTTTCACATACATTATGTTCCATTTGCACCCTTGGTGAGTCTGAGAGCTCAGCTCTCATTCACTGCAGGGAACTGTGAGGCTTATTTGAAGCCTTGTGTTTTAGCTTTAAATTTTATGCAAATCTTGCATTTTATTCCATGACATAGTCGTTATTGTTAGAAGCTAAAAATAATAGTTCCTACCTAAAAATGTTTAAGTAAAACTGCCGCTTCAGGAAGGTAGACCATTTTACCCTGCGTACCCCCAAGTCCCTGTGTGAACATACCTGACTTGAAGAAGAAAGAGAGGGACTAGGTGAGCTCCTGACATCTGTCTCAGTCAAGATGTGTCTTCCAGTTCACTCACGAAGGCAGCAATACCCAGAGCATGACTGTAGTAGAATCATAATGTTTTGTAACTGCAAGGGATAATGAAAATTAGAGCCCCAAGCCCTTCATTTTTGAGGTGGGGAAAGAGGAGCCCAGAGAGATTTAATGGCCTATAGAGTCACGCTGCTGGCTCAGTTTGTCTTAGACACAGATGGCTCTATTGTTCTACTTCTGAGTCTTCTAGATGAGCACTTTTCAAACCCCTTGCACACACATCACTGGAGGTCTAATCAGAATGCAGGTTCTGACGTAGGAGGTCTGGGGTGGGCCTGAGACTCTGCATTCCTAACATGCTCCCAAGTGATACTGATGCTGAAGCTCTGCAGAGCACATATTGGTTCATAGGTGCAAGGTTACATTTCCCCAAATTGGTTTGACTTTGATATACTTAAGTAATGTGAAAGACCCTTCAGCGTGCCACTCTGACTCTAAATCAATCAAACTTTGCATTGGTAACAATGCAGTATCCCAGTACAAGCAAATTTGGGAAAACTAAGTATCGTCTGCTTTGGCAATAGGGGTATAGTTGATTATTAGATCTGCCATGCGTACATCGTAGGCCAAGGGCAAATCTGCTTTACTGTGCACTATGGGATTAATCAGTTAACCCACAGCAAACCAAAATTGATCATTTGGAAGTGAAAATACCAGTAATTTATACTTAGAAAGCAAGAATATAGTGACTGAAAACCCTGGCCTAACTTAAGTCAACACCTGTAATGTCTTAATAATGAGTATCTTTCCCCCAAATTGTGGGATGCACAAGACAGTGCACATTAGCAGCTGTGAAGGCATAGTATTTTCATTAGTGTTCTTATTTAACCTCTAGTAATGCCGTATATTTTGGCTCGAATGTTGGTAGTTTTATTATTAATAACTCAGTGTATATGTAATAAGTAGCCCTTAGTCATAAAGAACTGAGAAATCCTATGAAATGGTGTGTTTGTTGCCTGTGAAGACAACAGTTTAGAAAAGATAGACATTTTAGAAATAGTTCTCATTCTGTATTCTTTGAAAATCACTGCTAGAGAATGTATTAAACAGAGTACTCTGCACTGAGTGTAAATCCAGCCATATTAATTACAGTAAAACGTTCCTTTCTATTCATCTGATACTATAGTAAGAGCTTATTTAATGAGCCTGTGATGATGGCTCTTTAGATCATAATTCTCCTGTGGGATGCAGTATCTCATGGCTTTATTCTGATGTCTTCAAGGTTGCTCAGAAGGTGCTGAAGAATGCCAAGCAGGCATGCCAGAGACTAGGACAGTATAGAATGCCATTTGCTTGGGCAGCAAGGTAAGGGGAACATCTTTTATACCTTTGATAAAGATATAGATATATGGATATAGACAGACAGTAGGCTAGCTAGCTGGATGGCTGGCTAGCCAGCTAGATACACCAACTTACCCATTCTGTTTGTTATTCAGAGACAAAGAAGATTTGAATGTGTAAATTTGAAAAAATAAGTAAGCCCCATATCTGAATAATCATTTATTACTGTCACAGAAAGGAAAGATGCTGGCTGGAGGGTAGCTTTTTGGAGCCGGCAGAATGCACAGGAGTTGGTTGCAAAGCTGGGATTCCATGTTCCAGCCACATGTCTCCAGCTGGAAGTGGGGTGGCAGCCCAGTGAGGCCTGCAGATATCTTTGTTTATGATCTCTACTTCTTAAGCATTTGACTGTGTATCTTGTTTCCTAAGCATGAGCCATTTGCTGGAAATATTTTCTATGTAAATTGAGTTAGTTCTAGTCATCTTCATAAATATCTTCCATGTTTTTAGATAATGAGATTTCTGTTGGCTACAGCCAATGGAATAATAATTAGTCTTCACATAGAAACCAGAGTTAAGTTGTGGATTTATTTCAGTCTTTTGGAAACTCAGTTTAGAAATGTTGTTTTGCTATTTCAGGACATTGTTTAAGGATGCATCTGGAAACCTTGACAAAAATGCCAGATTTTCTGCTCTCTACAGGCAAGACAGCAATAAGCTATCCAATGATGACATGCTCAAGTTACTTGCAGACTTTCGGAAGTGAGTCTCAGGGCCTTACTTATTCTCACACCTGAAAAATAGAAGTTGTTTGGTGGGGAGGGAGGAAGTGAGAGCAAGGAGCAATCTTTAAATTGCTCGTTCCAGCATAGGGCATATTGGTTCAGCAAGGAAATTTTCCTCAAGTCTTTGGGAAGGAAGAGAGGGTTTAAAATCAGAAGAGTAACCTGGTTAATTTGAATTTTATAAAGGTGCTTTTGGTGGTGCTCTCAGGGGTGGGTTGGGGGTAGAGATGAGCCTAGGGAAGAAGGAAACAATTGAGGAACGTTTGATGAGAGACAAGAAAGGACTTAGCAAAGTCACTACAGGTGGAAATAGGAAGGGGACTAATTGGAGAGACACAGTTACTGGTTTCTTGGTTTTCTGATTGGGTGTTAGGGTGGAAAGAGAGAGAAGTGGGTGGTAGTCTAAGATAAATAACTCCCAGGTTTCTAAGTTATGTGATGGAGTGACTTGTGATGCCATTAACTGAGTGGGTGATTGGGGAAGGATAATAACTTATATAGTACTTACTGTTTACTGGCATTGTTCTAAATGCTTTACCTATATTAGTGAGTGTATTAATTTCCTAGAGCTGCTGTAACAAATTATCATAAACTGGGAGGCTTAAAACGATGGAAATTTATTCTCTCTCAGTTCTGGATGCTAGAAGCCCAAAATCAAGATGTTGGCAGGGCAACACTCCTTCTGAAATCTCTAGGGGAGGGTCCTTCCTTGCCTCTTACAGTTTCTGGTAGCCGAGGTGTTCCTTGGCTTGTGGCAGCATAACTCCAATCTCTGCCTCTGTCTTCACACAGCTGTCTTCCTGTGTGTCTCTGTATAAATTTCCTTCTTATAGGAACACATCATGTTGGATTAGGGCCAACACTAGTGACCTCATCTTAACTTGATTACTGCAAAGGCCTTATTTCCAAATAAGGCCACATTTATAGGGTACCCAAGCCTAGGACTTCAACATATCTTTTTGAGGTGCACAATTCAACCCATAACAATGAGGCAAAGAGAGGTTAATCAACATGTCCAACACTGCACAGCTGGTAAGTAGGTGGAGTCAGTCTGGCTGAGAATCTGTACTCTTATCCACTGTGTTATTCTAGTGCTCTCTCCATAAAGGGTTCACTTCTGATCCTGTAGAACTGATTTCCTTTCCTAGGGACATGGGTTTTAGAATTTTTCTGGGAAAATTCTGGGAATGAGAAAGAGCTGAGGGTGTTAGAAGATACTGAAATGAAAAGAATGGTCAAGAGCCAGTCACTAAGTATTCTGTGCCATAGGAACCTTTCAGTCTTACTTTGTTATTTGTATATCAAAGTAAAAATATTGTCGCTTTGCCTAGATCTCAAGAATGGCTGGATTAACTTTCGGTACTTCATTTTTGCCTTTTTCTCACTTTTCTCTCTTCTGAGTTTTCAGGATTCTAAATAGAACCATATTAACATCTTTTAAAAACCTTTACTTATTGATAGTGGGTAATGTATTGTCACATATACTGCATATACTGTGTGTCATTCATAATTATCGTCTTGTTTTTATTTGAGTTCCAGAAAACTTTCAGCCTTGCCTATAGAATAAAAAGTTCATTTTCTAAAACCATAGTCACCTTTAGTTAAATAAATTACAATTTTCCCTCACTAGACTACCATGCAACTCTCAATAATCATGATATAGGTCTATATGTACTGACTTAGGGAGGTGAAGATACTGTATGTTAAGGAGGAAAAGGTGTATCTGTATGACCTCTTTTTTTTTTTTTTTGGTGAGGAGATTGGCCCTGAGCTAACATCTGTTGCCAATCTTCCTCTTTTTTTTTCCCCTCCCCAAAGCCCAAGTACATAGTTTTATATCCTAGTTGTAGGTCATTCTAGTTCCTCTATGTGGGATGCTGCCACACCATGGCTTGACGAGTGGTGCATAGGTCTGTCCCCAGGATCTGAACCAGCGAACCCTGGGCTGCCAAAGCAGAGTGCGCAAACCCAACCACTTGGCCATGGGGCCAGCCCCCATATGACCTTATTTTTGAAAAGAAAATATTTTATATCTTTCTTTTTGTGCATAAATGAAGAAATGGATAGGCAAATAGCTAGCTGAATGGAAAGATAGAAGGGCATAAAAATAGTCATATAGGGCACACACCAAAATATTAGTAGTCATGGTTATCTCTGTGGGATGGGTTTATGGGTGATTTTTCACTTTCCACTTTATAGCTTTCCATGATTTTACATGAACATTAAGAAAAAACCCATTTACTTATATATTCCTACAGAAAAAAAAAACAGTGAAGTTTTTTATATGTGATGGAGGTTGGAATCTTGTCTCAGAAGCCTGAAGCTTCCCCCACAGTGGCGGCTCTTCAGGGTAGACCCAGCTCACAGCTCTGGCTTCCTCAGGAGGCCGGAGGGTGGGACTTTACAGGGTCATTAATCAAAAAATGATCTGAGCAGAGAGGCCACGGCCAGTCAGCAAGGAGCACAGACCTTCACTGGTTCAGGGAACAGGATGGGTTCACCCACGCTCATCAGACCATCATGCCTGTGCTCAGTAGGAAGGGCTTCATGGGAAGAGTGTGCTCCAGACGGCCAGTGAGAGACCCAGAAACCCCAACATGTGGCTCCCAGGCTATCAGCATCGGAAGATGCAGCAGCACTAGTCGAGCTGCTGTCCTTCTTAATAAGAATCCAAAGAAACACCACCGTCCACTCCCTGTGTTCTTCACAATACAGTTAGGGAAGTGGGGGATTCCTTTTTCATATATTTTTTAAAAACTTAGCATTGCTCTTTTTCTTTCCTTTTTGTTTTTTTACAGAGAATAATCTCATGTCAGTGCCCTGGGCACCAGCTTGGATCCAAAGCTATTGTTTCTGCTCCCATGATTGTCTCATAATGTCATTTAATAATGGATGAGAAAAATTTTCTCAAGCTACTCCAGTCTTTAGAAAATAGCTGCCAAAGCTCATAAGCCACTTTCCCTGTTTCTTTTGCAATAATTATCAGGAGATGCATTCCAAGATTTAGTAAGAAAACAATTCTGTCAGATAGATGGTATTGCTGACATATATGCTCCAAGAAATATTTATCTAAGAAGAGAAACTTGGTGTTTTACATTTATTTGATTTGCTCATGGTGGTGTCTTTTCTCACTTCTGCAGGAAATATGAAGGCATGAAGGCAAAGCATAAAAGTAGAATGTTTTCTTTAAAATGTAGACTTTTTTTTAATGCTACCACATTGGGTAGTTTGTAATAATACAGTTAGGGTTTTTGCATGAGACTTACGTGTGTGTGTTTATTTGTACCTTTATGTTCTTTGTACCCAAGTTTGACATTATTACCTGCATTTCCCTCTAGTTACACTGCATTCAAGCCAGGTGAGGCTGCATGACTTTCTCTAAACCCACTGTGTACTTTCAGTCCACCATACTTTTTCTTCTGCCTCAATTGTGTCCCCTTCCTGCCTCATTAAGCAGCCCACAAATCACAAACACATACAGCATATACATTCCGCTTATGCTTTTGTCTCTCTTAAGGAACCCTACTCATCTTTAAAAGCCCAATCTGTAACTCACTTCCATGCTGGGAGACCTGGGGCAGGTCACTTGGCTTCTCTGCTTGAGGCTCCTCTTCATTTTAAGGGGGGATGATAATACCCTTGCCTCCTAGAACTGTGCTGAGGAATAAACCAAAATGCCTGTCAGGGTGATTTTTCTCACCGTGAAGACTAGTGTCATTCCCTATTCCTTCCAATGCCTCTAGAAGCTCTGCCTTCGTAGAGGTTTGTATATACTCTGGAAGTCGTTACCATCACATATCTTAAGTAGTTGACAGTATCTACCAGATTTTTGGCTTCTTGAGGACAGGAATCATATCTTGTTTGTATTCTATCCATGGTGCCTAGTATAGTGCGTGTTCTCACACAGCATAAGCATGTGACAGACGCTGATTGAAATTTATCACAGACATAAATTCAGTGATTTTGTTTAAAGAACAATATCTCAAATTTCTTTCAATCATATATAAATTTTTTTAACTGACAGCAAAGCTTTTAGGAAATATGCCATTAGAAGAGTAGACTCAGACCATCAACAGACCTAAGCATGTCATTAATCACTGACTGCGTCAATACAGAAAGTAGGGAAGGGTAGACCAGGCTGCAGAAACACAGAGGTAAGGACGCAAAATCTGTTGGCCTGAGATGACTACTAGCTTGTGATACCATTTGCCTTTCCTATTGGGGAATTGTTGAACTAGCAGGAATGTATGGGCAGTAGGAAAAGAAAACCTTTCCTTTTCCTAACACAGGGAGTTTGAGCTTCACTCCGAGGTTCACACACAGACAGAAGCCGTTCCCAAATGCCAGACACCCTACATGTATCTACATTACACATTTATTCAGTCAATGGAGTTTCAGGATGGATTTTCATTCTCAAGTATTATTTTATAGGTTTTGCATAGAATATTAAATATTTTAAGCATTTAAAAACCCAAAACTAATCCCAATCATGAGAGAATTCACTTTGTGTACCACACATACTCACATCATCACTTTGGAAATGCATATAAAAAAAGCAGTAGAATTTTTGTTGTATGTGAGGTTTTGATGTCTAATTAGCCAGATTGAATAAAAACTGTAAATTTTTAAAATAGATTTAAGGTTATATTTTAAAAAACTAAGTTGGTAGAAACAGTTTCCACAAAACCCATGTGCTATGTAATACAGAACTAGCTCAGATCTACACTTGGTTGGAAACGCATGGAAATAATGCCTCTATAGAAGTAGCAACTAGAAATAAAAACTCTCAACAGAGGGACGAAACAGAATGAGAAATACGTATAGTTAGACGCAGAAGTATATAACACATTGTAGAAAGATTTCAAGTGAAGATTGTTTAATTAAAATTTGTTGCTTAGAAAACCAATTCTCTCAAACCTGAATGCGGATGATGTCAGAGTGATGACAAAAAAATTGGTGAAGAAGGTGCAGATTCATTCATAGGTGGAAAAACTAGGAAAGGTTGATATATACAATACTCTTGAATACTTATATTTAAAAGTATCATTTGTAATAAACAGAGTATTTCTGACTCAAGGAAGCAGATACAACTTCATCAATGTCTCTAAGATTTTGTGGTATGTTGCAATGTTAAATTGTTCAAGTGAAGAGGTAGAGCAAGGCACTATATGTCAAGAAAATTTATACCTACATAGAAACCCACAGGTCTGAGGGTTGATGCCCCTGAAGAGCTCTGTGTAAAGCTGAGAAAGGCTCCAACAGTGCAGGAGGACACAGTACTTGGGAAGCCATCAAGTGCTCCCAGGGAATGGTTGTCAAAGGCACGATCTTTCTGCTAGAAGAAAAAGATAGTGTGTTTGTGAACAAATCACAGAATGGGTGCAGGAACAAAATGTAGGAGTAATGTTGGACTGTTCCTGGACATCTTTTGGCCAGAAATCTTTTTAACTGAAGGCAGAATGTGTGAAAAATTGTTGACTTGGCTTTCTGACAGTTATCTCTCTCAGGATTTCAAGGAATTGCTCATTTAAACTCAGGCGTAAACAAAAGACAGGTGGAAATGAGAGGAACCCTGGGAGAAAGTGATTCTGCAAGTTGGAGCTGGTGATGGGCAAAGATAAATATGCTTGACGTAGTCCCTAGCCATAAGGAAGCGGGAACTTTTAGGGAAAACCTGAGTCAGATGAACAATATCCCGAGATATACTGAGAAATTACAAGTGAGATTGCTTAATAGATAAGAATGATGTCTGAGGAACCTGAAAAATGGGAGATAGGAACTTTTCAAAATTGGAACAAAACCAAATGCTGACTCTGTTGGCCGCTGAGCTTTGATGTTTCTTGGCAGCATTCTAAAAGACAGTATTAAACAGGTGGCCCTTGGAGAATCATAAGGCAGCATTCTGTTTTCTAGGAATAAGTCATGTCATGTTGAACTGGTCATCCTAACTACATTTCTGCTTCTCTCTTTTTACTTGGGTTGCTAAGCTGCTGCAACACAGGAATCAAAACCTTTGACAAGTGTATGTACCATGATGTCCTATGAACAAGTCAGAGAAGCATAGTACACACGAGTGGACAGTTGTTCAACTGCTGGAGTAACCAGATGCCAGGAAGGGTGATGAATAGGCTAGTATCAGTCTGGAGACAGGCCTCTAGATGTTTGAGAAAGAGCCTATTCTTGGCAATATTCCATGCAGTATCTTCATCAATGACTTTTAGGAGAATATAAGGTGCTGATGAAATATCTTTATGACGTAGAGCTATTAACAGTATCTAATACATTAGATGTTAGAATCTGGATTTAGGAGGGTTTTGATCAACCACAAATGGCTCAAACATAAGAAGATGAAATTTCATCAAGATAAAAATAAAATCCTATTCTGAGATCCAAAAACATAATTGTATAAATATAGGATGGAGATGTAACATGATGGTAAAGCATATGAAAAAAGATTTAGGGATTTTAGGTGATTGTAAATTTAATGTAGGTCACTAGGGTGGTGTGGCTGCCTAAAAGTAGTAGCGTTTTGGCTGCATTAATAGAAGGGTATGTTGTTCAAAAACCAGACAGCTGCTCTACTCCTAGCTGGTCAGACTGTACTGGGTTGATCTGTGCAGTTCTGGGTGCCATGATGTAGATGGGGCGTTCTTCTAGGAGAGAAAAGGCATTGAAGGATGGTGCAAAGGGCTGAGAATGGAGGACTTCAGAAAGATGTGCTAGCTGTTTGTGGATGATTGAAAAGTGTTCCATAGAGAAACACAACGAGGCCCGAGGCCCCTTGATGAGTGGAAGTTTCAGAGAGGTGAATTTTACCATGCCATGAGGAAGAGCAATCTGGTGTTGAAACAGCTTTGTCAAAAGTTTCCTTGTCACCAGGAAGGGTTGAGTCAATAGCAGTACTTGTCAGGAATGTCACAGAGGAGATTCCTATATTGAATTGAGTCAGACTGAATACAAACACCAACATTTCATTGAGCACCTATTTTGTATCCAGGATTTTGCTAGACACTGGAGCCTAAGATGACTTCTAGTTCTGAATTTTGATGATTCTAAGTGAACCAAGAATTTCTGGTGAGAATGGAGTGGTTCAGGAATACTTGAACAGTTTGCTGGTATTCTTATCTACACTTGTTTGTCTATCAGAGTAGCCACTAGCCACATGTGGCTGTTGAGCACTAGAATTATAGCAAGTCCAAACTGAGATGAGCTGGAAATGTAAAATCCACATTTGGTTTTGAAGGTTTAGAATGAACTTTTTATACTGATGACACATTGAACCGATATTATTTTGGATATATTGGGTTAAATAAAATGTGCCTGTTTCTTTTTACTTTTTAAAATATGATTACTAGAAAGTTTAAAATTACTTTTGTGGCTTGCATTATATTTCTCTTGGAAGTACTGCTCTAGAACTTCGGTTTTAGACCTAACCTAACTTATAAATGTTTGATTTTCTCTTCTTTTCTTTGTAGACCTGAGAAGATGGCTAAACTCCCAGTGATTTTGGGCAATCTAGACATTACAATTGATAATGTTTCCTCAGACCTCCCTAGTAAGTGTAAGTTCTGTGTAATGAACAGACAAAATTTTGTGTGTTTGTTTTTTACTTCTATTTGTTTGTTTTTAATTTTTCAGATTATGTCAATTCATCATATATTCCCATGAAGCAATTTGAAATGTGTACTAAAACTCCCATTACATTTGAAGTAGAGGAATTTGTGCCCTGCATACCCAAACACACTCAGCCTTACACCATCTACAACAATCACCTGTATGTTTATCCTAAGTACTTGAAATATGACAGTCAAAAGTCTTTTGCCAAGGTGAGTGCAAAGATTGAGGTTTCATTTTTGATATCAAACTCCGGTAGGATTTGGCTTCTCATGTTCTTTTATAAATGTTTATATATTCTGGCCTTTTGTTTTATTTTCTTTTTCTTTTTTCTTTAAATATTGCTGTAGGCCAGAAATATTGCTGTTTGCATTGAATTCAAAGATTCAGATGAGGAAGACTCTCAGCCTCTGAAGGTTTGCTTTTATATATATTTGCATTTTTACATTGAAATAAATGCAGTTGCATGATATTGCACAACTAAAGGAATTTGGCACACTTTAATTGACACAAACACAAAAATATATGACGTTACAATATATGACCACATGTGCTGAACCTTACAGAATATGGAATAATTGAGTTTTCGCTCCTTGATTATTTCTGTTTTGTTATACTCTTTAGGGATGAAGGTTTCTTATGCATGTTCAGTTCAGTAAACATATTGTGCACCTACTATGAGCTAGCATTGTGTGGGTGCTAAGAATAATGATAATAGTAATATTGACAATAGAAATAATCATAATAATAGATTGACATTTATTACATGTTTATTATAGTATAGTAATAATAATAGTGACAGATTATTGGTGATGTTTATTGAATACAATAAGTATTATTATATTCCACACTCTGTTCTTAGTGCCACATGGGTATTGTCATTAGTACTGTCGAGTCGATTCTGACTCCTAGTGACCCTCTGTACAGCAAAGCAGAACCCTACCAGGTCTTTTTGTGCCATCTGCTCATCTTTAATTCTCATAACAGTCTTTTGAGTTAGGTACTATTATTAGCCACTGTTTTTAGATGAGGAGACTACTTAATGCACAGAATTTAAATAAATTGCTTAGAGGCATACATTAGCAGAACTGGTTTTCAGACCTAGGCAGTCTGGCTCCAGAGCCCAAGTTCTTTACTGTAACTATGTGAAAATGACTTTCTAAGAAGGGAAGGAAACAAAGATGCAAAGACGAATATAATTTAGTTTTTGTCCTCAAGAAATTCACAGTTTAGTGGGAAAGAGAGTCATGGAGAAAAAGCTCCTGGCACATAGAAGGCACTGAAATGCTTTTTTAAACAAAACTGAATAATGAGTGTAGGAAAATGCTGAGGGGACACAGAGGAAGGAGTTAAGAATTTCTTGAAGGATGCATGAGAGTTTGCGTGGTACATAGAAGGGCAGGTCATTCGGACACAGGAATTGCATAAGCAAAAGCATGGAGGTGTGAAAGGTGTGAGCAAGGCGTTGGCCAGAGCTACAACATGGAGAGGTGGGGAGGGGCGGGGGAGGAGGCCTGGGAGATGAGCTGGAGGGAGAGTTGGACCCAGAAGTAAGGGGGTTTGCAGGCCTGGAGTCTCGTAGGCAGAAGAAATCCAACAGAGGTGGTTAAGTTTATGCTATAAGGGTGCCTTTTTCTTTACAACACATCTGAGTTTGACTTCTTACTCCCTTAATTGAATACTGGTGTTTCCCTTTGTTAACTGTTATTATAGTGCATTTACGGCAGACCTGGTGGGCCGGTGTTCACGAGAAGCGCCTTCGCTGCGGTCTTACACCATCACCAAAACCCAGAATTTTATGATGAGGTAAGTGATGTTTTCAAGGGAAAACCCAATTTAACCAGTTTTAAGGAAAACTCCAAGTTATTTGCTTGGTAAAGCAAAATTCAAGAGAAACTACATACTATACTGAAATTACTAATAGAACTAAATGTTGAAGTATTTATTTTACATAATTATAAAAGTAACATGTTTTTTGTAAAAGAAGTAAAAACTTGGAAAATGCAGATAATATAGAAAAGAAAAAGTCAAAATCCCTCCATCACTACTATAATTAGTATTCTGACGTTTCCTTTCAAATTCATACTTAAGTATAGCTACATTTTTTTGGACCTGAGAACTTTTGTTATCCTGGGGTTTCCTTATGTAGAACTATAACATAGTTCACTAAAACTACTATTTGAATCCTACTTTTAGATGTTCTATCTGGGTCTTTCATCGTGCCTTGGCTGTGTTAATTTGGTGTAGCAGTTTCTGTCACGTGTTTTTCAGTTCTTTCTGGAGTTGAAATACTAACTCTCCTCCTATTTCTAGTCAGTGAATGTTTTAGTCTGTGCTGCTATAACGAGATAGCACAGACTGTATGGCTTATAAACTGCAGAAACTTATTGCTCATGGTTCTGGAAGCTGGAAATCCGAGATCAGGGGCCAGGATGGTCGGGTGAGAGCCATGTCCCAGGTCACAGACTTCTCAGTTGCATCCTCACGTGGTGAAAGGGGCTGGGAGTCCTGTGGGGCCTCTTTCATAAGAGCATTAATCCTGCTCACGAAGGCTCTACCCTCATGGCTCCACCCAGTAATGCCATCAGTTTGGTTAGGATTTCAGCAGGTGAATTTGTTGGGGACACAAACATTCAGACCATAGCAGTGAATTAAATGCATCCATTTTTTCCTTAGCACAATTTACAGTCTCAGATTTCTTTGACTACAAATGTTACTATCAGTTTAGAGACCAAATGCACATTTGTACATTGGGTGACACATTATGTGGCTGCTTTCACTGAGAATTTTTGTTGTTTTAGAATATTAGAAAGATTGTTGTATTGTCTTCCTGGCAGATTAAAATAGAATTGCCCACACAGCTACATGAAAAGCACCACTTGTTGTTCACATTCTTCCATGTCAGCTGTGATAATTCAAGTAAAGGAAGCACAAAGAAGAAGGATGTTGTCGAAACACAAGGTTTGAACTTTCTTCATTTCTTTGATTTTTCATAACTTACACATTAAGTTCTTAAATTTTACTTTGATTCTGAATTCGCAACCATTTGCAAAGGAGTTTTTAGATGAAATTTGTGATGATAGCATGTCTGGCCTTTCATATGCAAACTTTTAGAAAAGGTGATTTTAGAATTCTGATTCCAAAGAAGCCAAAGTACACTGTAGACAATGTTCTGCAGAGACTGCATTTGGGGGCTTTTCAATTTCTTACTCTGATAGATAGCAGCAGTTCTTAAATATCAGGCAATTTAATAACATTGGCTTTCTTCATAAGTTTTCATACGCTGACTGAATTTTTTTGTTCTTTGTTTCAACAGTTGGATATTCCTGGCTTCCTCTCCTGAAAGATGGAAGAGTGGTGACTAATGAGCAGCACATTCCTGTCTCAGCTAATCTCCCGTCTGGCTACCTTGGCTACCAGGAGCTTGGGATGGGCAGGGTATAGGACTTTAAGATTGGTTTATCCCAGTTCCTTCAGAAAACGTTAAAGAATAGCTAAAACAACAGCAACACAGAAAAGGACACGGTGTTTTCGCCAGTTGCAACATTATGATTTTAGTTATTCATTTTCAAGTAAACTTAGGCCATTGGAAGGCAGTGCTGTTATCACAATCTAGAATTATAGTTTGGGTGCTTTACACGCCTTGAATCAGCAGTGCCTCAGCAGGAAAATGAAGACTTGGAGATACTGGATGAGGTGGAAGTTTGTCTCCGCAAACTAGCCATAAAGATGCACTCTTAGGGTCATGCAAATGATTAAGAAGTGTCTTCCAGCTGAATTAAGTCTAGTAAGAAAATCTCTCACCTACAGGGTAGCCTCTTCTCATACCTTTCTGATTCATTAAAGCCTGAATTTTCTCAGATTTCTCCACTTGATTTGTTGGCTTTGCATTCTTTTTAGCCATCTTAAATTTCATAGACTTAAATTTTATAACATGCTTACATAAAGTCTGTTTCATTTCATTTTGAATAGCTTGAATGTTTCTCTGCATTTAAATAGTGCTAAATTTGGGCCCGTGTTATGGAATATTCCAAAATAATGATAACTCATATAACATTCAATGCTAGTCTGAACATGAGAAAAATGGGGGTTTCAGAAATTATACTAAGCACAAACATATGGTTGACCCTCCGCCTATGCCAGTCACGCTTACTGTCCTATTTGCTTTATCTGGTGCCTTCTACCAGCTCTTTCAGAATTCTGAGCTCAAGTTTGGTTAAAGTCATTGGTGAAATAGAGCTCTTTCTCTCTCAAATGGACAGTAACTCATACAGCTGCAACTAAATGGAAATGATAACTTAGGAAATCCAGTAAGAAGAGCATTGTACTTCGGGGGAAGAAAGTGGGCAGAAATTAGTATTGGTTACATTCCTGCTGTGGACCAGGCATAACTGTCAAGTCACTGAAACCGTCTGGGCCTTCAACACCTCATCAGTACTCTTACTGAAGATGGTGTTTGAAGCCAAAAACACTAATCTGTTGGGATTTTTGTTTCTCCATATTTTTTCAGCATTATGGTCCAGAAATTAAATGGGTGGATGGAAGCAAGCCACTGCTGAAAATTTCAACTCATCTAGTTTCCACAGTGTATACTCAGGTATGTGCTATTCTTTTCTGTTAAAATTAACAGTGATTGCTCTGTGAATGAGTTTGCATGATGATTTTACAAAACAAAATCCTAATTGATATGTTATATGGATATATTTTTACTCTAGTTCTCTTTTGAAGAAAAATAGTTGATATGAGGTATTCATATGTACTGACACAAATGAATAGCACAAGTAACATTTTTCAACGGTTTTCCCCTTTTGTTGGAGGTTGTTTGAAATCTCTAATGTTGTCATCTTTATGTGATCAATTTCATAGTCTAAAAAAAGTGCATGCTGCAAGAAGCAAATACCTTTCTTTCCACAATGTACATGCTAATAGGCTTTCTTTTTCTTTTCTTCTTTTTTTCCCCCAGGATCAGCATTTACATAATTTCTTCCAGTACTGTCAGAAAACCGAATCTGGAGCCCAAGCCTTAGGGAATGAACTTGTAAAATACCTTAAGGTATCAGATGGCTTTCTTAGTAACCCCTTTATAATGAGTGTTGAGTAGATTGGGTTTGATTTTTGGTGGTGAGTGTTGTTCTTACCCCTTGGAAACCTTGTGAGGCTGCCCTTAGCTGGATGCTCGCACAATGATAGCAAATATATGGTTTTAGATGGTAGCAAGAAGTGAACTCAGAAATAGTACTACTCCGGGGCCAGCCCGGTGGCACAGCGGTTAAGTGCACACATTTTGCCTTGGTGGCCCTGGGTTCGCTGGTTGGGATCCCGGGTGCAGACATGGCACCGCATGGCAAGCCATGCTGTGGTAGGCATCCCACATATAAAGTTGATGAAGATGGGCACGGATGTTAGCTCAGGGCCAGTCTTCCTCAGAAAAAAGAGGAGGATTGGCGGATGTTAGCTCAGGGCTAATCTTCCTCGAAAAAAAAAAGTAGTACTACTCCTGCCTTTATCTGAGTTCCATGTATACTTTTCTCAGGCTGGACCTAAAACACATTGTTCCTGCATAGAAAACCACTCACTCACACAGGCCCTTCTCTTGAGTGCTCACTGGGCATATAAGAAGCCCAGTGACTTTAGTCCCACTGTTAAGTAACTTCTAGTTCGTTGTAGAAGATACTGTAACCTTGGTGGATGCATGCTGGGTGGGTTAAAAAAGAACAGAGAAATAATACCTGTCACCAGCCCCAGCTTTGTGCAGGGGTTAGGGCTCTTGGAGTGGTTGCCCAGTGAGAACAAGGAGGGTTTGTCTGGGAGAGTTTCATCCAGAATGGAATTCTAGGGGAACATTTTGAAAAAGGAGAGTAGTCATTCTAGGCATGAGGACAAAATACAAGAAATGTGAGAAATGGAATAGAAGTTTGTTTGGTTTAGGCAAGGAAGGGGATTCTGAAATTATTGCCTTGCAAAGACCCCTTTCAGCTACCTCATATAGAGTCATGTGACTTGAAGAACATTAGTTTTCTATTAGTTTTCTATTGCTGCTGTAACAAATTACTACAAACTTGGTGGCTTAAAATGACACAAATTTATTTTTTTACACTTTAGGTCAGAAGTCTGACATGAGTCTCCCTGGGCTAAGATCAAAGTGTTATTAACAGAGCTGAGTTCCTTTCTGGAAACTCTAGGGGTGAATCAGTTTTCTGTCCTTTTCCAGCTTCTCAAGGCTTTCCTCATTCCTTGGCTTGTGGCCCCTTCCTCCATCTCAAAGCCCACAATGCTGCAGCTCTGACCATTCTCCCTTAGGCACCTCTCCTCCAACTCTCCTGCCTCCCTCTTCCACTTTTAAGGACCCTTGTGATTACATCAGGCCTACCTGGATAATCCAAGAGAGTCTTAAGCTGGTTAGCAGTCTTAATTCCCCTTCACTGTGTAACATATTCACAGGTTTTAGGGGGGTTAGGACGTGGACATCTTTGTCCCTTATTCTTCCTGCCACCACTTTCCATTTGTTTTAGATGGACTTCTTTCACTCTTATTTATGACTGAGTGGAAATTGCTTGGGGTTGGTTTACTTTTAAAAAGATAGCACGTTCCATGTCTCTAGAGCCTGCATGCGATGGAGGGCCACGTGATGATCGCCTTCTTGCCCACCATCCTAAACCAGCTGTTCCGCGTCCTCACCAGAGCAAGCCAGGAGGAAGTCGCCGTCAACGTGACACGGTGAGAGAGGCGGAAAGGTGGATACTCTTCTTCCCTTTCAGTCTGTCCACACCTGGAGCACAGTCATACATATCTTGGATGCTAGTATGTGTTAAACATTGTATTTAAGAAATTTCTTTTGATCCCATATGTAGGGACCCCATCTTACCCCTCGTTTCCTGTTTCCTGTGGTGCCAATAGCATCATCATTGTTCTACTACAACTGTGATAATAATGAAATGTTTCCATTTTCACATTACTATTCATTGCTTTATTCATTCCTGTGGTGTATAGGGTCATTATTCATGTGGTTGCCCAGTGCCATGAGGAAGGATTGGAGAGCCACTTGAGGTCATATGTTAAGGTATGTAAAATAAACTATCCCGATCATTTAAATTTGTGGCTCTCCAATTTTCCTTCTAAGAACTTATTTTTTAAAAATTTAGTTATTTTGGAATGTATTTTGGGGTGAAACTTAATACCTCTGCTTTCTCTTCTATATCTCACAGCCAGTGCTTGGACCTGAACAAGGGCAAGTCCAAAGAGGGGCAGCCATTCATTTATTTACTTAATTTCATTCTTTCTACTATATTTCTTTTAATGGGTCTTGCAAATAATGTGACCCAAATGACATGGAATTTTAAAGAAGAATTTTAAGTCCCTTTTGGCTAGGCCTCTTGTGTAGCTTATTGTCTTCATTTTTCTTTCCGCATCTAAAATTCCCGGTAAAACTGCTTCTCCCGAGATGGGAAGGTTAGCTCTGGCCATGATCAAATTAGATGACTATGTGAGACAGCAAGAGATGTTGTTAGGATAAATATCAACAAGTTCTTCATTTATGTATAATGTTCAGTAAACACAGTGGCAGTTAACTGTTCTAAAAAGTTACACATGTTCTATTTAGTCTTAGACATCTCTGTGAATTATAGCTATGTGTTAATTTAAACAACAAAGTACGGCTTCCTCAGGGTATCAGTTATTCAGTATCGTGTGACATGTTTCTTGAAGTCCTTGGGAGGTGGAATTGTGGGCTGGAGGACCACTGATCTAGCTGGGTCAGGTGATTCACATATTTTGATGGGCTCCCTCTTTCTGTCACATGACAAACCACCCTTCCCGCCTTCTGTTTCTACACCTCCCTCTCTCGGCCATGCAATTGTGCCTCAGTCCCTGATCTCCATCCTTTGGAGCCTCTCCAGCTTTTTGTCTAACTTGGAGAACCAGTTCATTAAAGTATCTTTCCCTTTTCTTCAAAGTATGCTTATAAGGCTGAGCCATATGTCGCTTCCGAATATAAGACAGTGCATGAAGAACTGACCAAATCCATGACCACAATTCTCAAGCCTTCCGCTGATTTCCTCACCAGCAACAAATTACTTAAGGTATGTGGGGAGGGCCAGTGTGGCTCTGTGATATTGATATTGATTGAAGAAAATTCAAACTCCGCATCCTGATCAATTCACCCTTTTTGTGTGCCTTTGGAGAGAATCACCACCTCCTATAAAAAAGTGGTAACTGAGTTAATTCTTCAGTACCAACTTTGCTGCTTGACTTGTGCTCCCATCGAGCTGCAAAGTGTTGCTACATTCAAAGCTTCCTGGGGTCTTAACTATTAGTAAGTCAGTTTATTCAAATCATTGGAGGACGCTGAGTTAGAGATCATACAGGCAGGTGTCAGCAGGTGAGAGACTCAGCCAAGAGGAAGGACCGTCTTCTGATCTAGCGGTGCCCCTTGTTGGATTGTGCTGTGATGAGCATCTGCACCCGGTTTCCTAGTGGATCGGAGTCACTTATTGTCGGACATGTGAAAGCAGGAGAGCCTCTGCCACGCACCTCTGGTCTGATAATGGTTTGCCGAGAGGTTCAGCCATGTTTTTGGGTCACACCTGTTTCATGTCAGTAACATTGTCAGCCAAAGAGAGTAAATGTTTCACCTTCTAACTTGCTGTTTTTCTCACTGAGATCCTTTCTTATTTTTCTTTCAGTATTCGTGGTTTTTCTTTGATGTTTTGATAAAATCCATGGCTCAGCATTTGATAGAGAACTCCAAAGTAAAGGTATGTCACTTTCTGTCAGGGCTTGAGTGGCAGTTCTTAGGGGATGGTGTCTTTCATTGTGTTTGTAGCCCACATTTATTAATGCTTTCTGTGTGTGCCAGTTACAGTGCTGTGTTAAGAGCTTTCCAAGTAATAAAGCATTTTAGTTTTATAGCAACCTTATGTGGGATGTCCTAGTCTTGCCCCTTGTTTTGTAGTTGAAGGAACTGAGGCCAGAGTGCTTGAGGTACTTGCCCATGGCCATGATGCTAGTGAATAGAGGGAGCCAGGTTTTGAGACCAGTCTGGCTCCAAAGCCCACACTCCTGAAGCACTGTGTTATTAAGTCCAAAGAAAAAGGTGTCTTTCCTTTGACTAGCTTAGATATCTTCAAGTCTGTTGAAAAGAGATTAGTAGTTTAAGCATTCATGTAAAATGTAATTACCTGATGTTTCTTAAGTGTCTTGAATATTGTAAACCTTTCTCAGGGACTTAGATGAGAGTATCTGATGCTACTTCATGTCATCTGTAACCCATGAATGGACTCTGAGATAACTCAGTCTCCCCACCAGCCCTCCTCGCTGAGGTGCGTGGGTGTGTGTGCCTTTGTGCCTCTCTGGGTCCCTATACTGTCTCCATGCTCATCTCTGGACTGATGCCTCTTAAGGTGTGACTGGCCACTGCTGGCTGTCTGAAGCCCAACGTAGATAAATTTTTATAAAATTCCAGTGCAGTAAACACAAGTGGTCATGTTGCAGAGTCCTTCTGAGATGTATGGAATCTTGGAGTTGCTGTTATGACTATGAATTCTTGCTGCATTGTAGCTATACAGAAGCAGGGTCTCGAGGAGTCTGGTAGAGAGCTGGCAGGGCTCGTGCAGGGAGTGGTGGTCGTGGTGCCTGGCAGTCTCATAATAAATGGGGGAAAGAGGGAAGACCACAGGGAGGAAGGGTCAAGATCTTGGCCCCCTGGACAAGGGATCTGAACTCTCAGAGGAAGTCTTGGGAAAGGCTGCTAGGTTTTTTCAGGTAGAAGGTTGGTGGTTCAGAACCTAAAGTCATACTTTCCTCTAGTAGAGTGGGCACTGGTGCCTGACCAGCTGGTTTCCTTTTTTTTCTTTTTTTCTTTTAAATCCATTTTTAGTGCACAGTGAGATGCCAGATGGAGGTGGGCCTTGCCTTTCACAGAGTAATGCACCATCTAAATCATGCCAGAACAGCTTGCCAAGGAAAAAATCTAGCAGATTGTCTATTTGGCAGTGTGCAGCCAAGTGTGCGTGCATGCACACACAAGCGCATGCACACACAAGCACCTGCACACACATACATGCAGGTCATTTGGATATATTGCCTTTTTATTAAAAATGTTGTCATATGCCCAATAGGCTTTAGGCCTGTCTTAGTTTGCCTGTGCTCCCGTAACAACAGCCTAGGTGACTTAAACAATAGAAATTTATTTCCTCACAGTTCTGCAGGCTAGAAGTCTGAGATCAAGGTATCTGTAAGGTTGGTTTCTTCTGAGGCCTCTCGCCTTGACTTGTGGTTAGCCGTCTTCTCCCTCTGTCTTCATGTAGTCTTCCCTCTGTGTGTATGTGTCCTAATCGTCTCTTCTTATAAGGACACGAGTCCCAGTTAGATTAAGGCCCACCTCAATGACCTTGTTTTAACTTAATTACCTCTTTAAAGACTCCATCTCCAAATACAGTCATATTCTAAGGTACTAGAAGTCAGGACTTAAACATATGAATTTTGAAGGGAGACAATTCAGTCCCTAATAGGGCCCCACTGGATTTTTCATTGTTTTGGGCTCTAAATAATGGCGATCACTTCAGAGAAATTGGTGACTTGATTATATTTAAAAAAATAAATGATTTGTTCAGAAGGCATTCATTGAGCCCTTATTATATGCAGGCGTGAGGGTTACAAAGTTAAATGTGGGGTGATTTGTGCCCTCACAGAGCTTAGATGGGAAAGTGTTCAATTAGACCATGGAAGTGATCGTCAAGGAGGTGACACTTCTGAGACACTCACAAGAATTATATTTAAAATCAAGTATCACTGGCATCTTTCCGAGAACTGTGATAGAAATTTAATAAAGGAATTTAGTTGTATGTGTTCTTTTCTCAAGATGCCAAATTAAACCATAAAACTTTAGGGATGGTAGGGACCTGAAAGCTACCTTCTGGTCCACCTCCTCCCTATTTCGCCGAGGTTGATATGGAAGTATAGACCTGAGAAGTGAACTGCCCAGGGTCATGCAACTGAGCAGAGCCAAGAACTCGTGCTAGAGTCTGAATCAGCCTCTCCCAGATGTTCTGCCATTTCCAGCCTTATAACCTACTTCTCCAGTGCCTCTGGGAAATTGGTTGTGGAGCTCTCTGGAACAAACCGTTCAAATGCTACCCTGCACAACCTTTTTCATAAGTTAATTATATCTTGGTCCTAAAACAATATTCAGAAAGTTTTTAGAAGTAGTTTATTTTAAAATTGTTATCCAGCTTAAAAAGAAACACTGGCATCCAAAAAGGAGAAAGCTTAACCATAACATAACTTACCATAAAAAGAGATTCTAAACACCTACTTAGCACTTTGGAGAGTTTGACATTTTCACTTTCAGAGGGCTCCCCTCTGACTTCTGCTGCCACGTCACCCCAGATACCATGCTACTCTTTCTCTAAATCACGTGTTGTTGATCTAGGAGTTAATGTCACATTTTTTCATTCAGTTTGCCTCATATGCTAAGAGTAATGAGTTTTATATGTTTGAATTGGTTATTTTTATATTTGTCTTATGTTTTCATCTTAAGAATTGTATGTGCTAGTCCCCAGCCCCAGTGTTCTGAATTTAGGGAACAAGTTCACATTCACCATTCCTGTACCATTTGTGATTTCCAAAATCATGATCAAATCCCCTCAGAGTTTTTATATTTTTAGACTGAAGATTTTTAATGTCATCCAGTGTGTTTATAATCCTGACCTTGATTTTTTTCCTCATTGGTGAATCTTTCTTAAGGTGCCATAACGAGGCATGCACTGGTCTTATACGAGCACCTGGGCCGTAGATTCATATAAGAACCAGACATGCTTTCAGTGTTGCTTCAAGTGCCCTTCCCAAGGATATCTGGCATCGATCAGCATTTGGGGGCACAACTGAGCTGAGGCCTTCTTGAGCCAAGGCCTTCAGTGTGCGCTCCTGATATTAGTGGGGTCGTTCCATTTGATGCATATTTATGTGGAGAGATAAATTTGCATACTGCTATACTTGCTTCTAATACCACACTCTTGCTGAAGATGGAGGCGACACTGTGTGTCCTCCTTGCCATCCCCAGCCAATCAAACTATACTTTGTTACATTTGCTGAGGAAGGCTGTGAATCAGAGACCCTCTTTGAACTAACATCTAAAATAAACAATTTCCTTACTACCGCAGATGGACCTGCAAAGTTTAGATTGATTACATATGACTGTGCCAGACTTGAGTGTTTCATAGGTGACATGTGCTTAGAATTTACAATAAGTGGTTTTTAAGGAAAATATAAAACAGACCTCATCAAGGCCTGCTAAGGAGTTCCCAACACCCAACATCATTCTGCCTCTATGGTCAATGTATTTTAGGTGTTTCTATTCTATCATTTATATTTAGCAACTATAATTTCAGCAGACTCATTTCGAATTTCCTTTCCTCCCACAGAGAATCAAGAAAATTGCTAGCATTCTACAGGTGTACTTTAAGGAAGTTGGAAAACCTAGCATAGGGTGGGATGAATATATACACTTAAGTGTTTCTTAGTTGTTTAGCCTTCAACCATTTTCTGGGTTAATTGAGCAAGGAAAGAGCTTTCATTTGAAAAGTAGAAGAAGGATGGCATGGTTCATGTTCTAAATGGACTGCCTAGACGTCCCCTAAACTATATTTGTAAACACTGTACATATATGATGGCAGAATGTTAACATCCGTACTTCCATCCATGAGTAAGCATTTCAAACAGTTGTTTGCCATGTGCAGAGCACTGAGGAGAAATGCAAATGGAGTAGAGAGTGCATCCTCAACCTTGAAGCTGACGTAGTCCTTGGAGAAAGAAAACATTCAGCTTGGAACAGTTAGAGAAAAGTGCAAGAAGGTGTATGTGTGAGCTCCAAAATGATAGGAGATTAAAGTGGAGATAGAGATGGAACTTTACCTGGGCCTAGAAGGATACCATATTTTGGGGGAGGAGAGTGAGTGTTAAGCAGAGGAAAGAGCTCATGTTCAGGTAAGGCCTCTGTGGCTTTGCTCTGTGGTGGAGCTCAGGCTTAGAGCAGAGGGGAAAAGTGAAAAACAAGATTAACTCAGAAATAACAATGAGATTATGGGGAGCTTTGAGGCCCAGCAACAGACAATTTGGTAGAGACCACAGAGAGGGAGGGTAGGTTCGTTAACAGGAGTGACAAGATGAAAGAGCGTACAAATTTTAGCAGAGTGGCTTGGAAAGTTTTGTATCAATGAGTCTACTTTCCCCCTGGAGTTGAAATAGCCTGTCATTTTTTAGCTCTCTAACTGTAATAACATGAAATGACATTTTATGGTGATGCTGATGAAGATCTAGCACTGGGGGCAATGAGGTGACATTGAGGATGAGGATGGAAAGCATTATGAATGAATAAGAGAGAACTAATAATTTGACCCAGCAGTTGTACCTTTAAGTATTTACTGAAGAGAAATGAAAACATATTCACACAAAGATTTATATGCAAGTGTTCATAACAGCTTTATTCATAATAGCCAAAAACTGGAAACAACCAAATGTCCATTAACTGGTGAATGGATAAACAAATTGTGGTAACTCCATACAATGAAATACTACCTAGTAATAAAAAGGAATTAAGTACTGATTCTTGCAATAACATGGCTGAATCTCTGAAGCATTATGTTAAGTGAAGGAAGTCACTGTAATCATGCAGACTACACACTGTATGAGTACATTTTATGACATTCTAGAAAAAAAAATTATAAGGACAGATGACAGAGCAGTGGTTTCCAGGGGC